ACATACTTCTCTCAGGTCTTACATTGTTTTTATATCTGTCTATTAGTGTTTATTTCCGAAATAAAAATATTCGTGTATGGATAATCATGATAGCAAAACATATTTTTTAAAGTATAACACTCTAAACATCCGATAAGTCTTGCGGATCGAACGCTCTACTCGTCTCCCAATCTATTCTGTAACCCTCAAGCTGGATTTAGACAGTGACCTGAACACGAGAGAGAAGACCCAAAATACGCGAGAAGTAGTTTACTCCAAGGTTCATTCTAATACAGAAAATACAGGGTTTTTATACTTTAAAGGTCCTTGGGTTGCTAGAAGATTCAGGAATGCTACTAAACATAGTGGCAGCCAACCAATCAGAGCCTCTGCATGTGACGTTTCACTTCCTTGATATTTTTGGCTAAGACTTCAAGTGAACGCTGATTGGATGAAACACGTCTTAGTGATTCCTGGTGCTTGCTTGTAATCGTGATTACATCAACTATAAAGTTAACATTTATGACCTAAAGAGGATCTGTTTATTGTTAGTTTAAAGATCGATTGTTAATCGAACGTAATCTTTTATAGCGTCAAAAATAAAATGAATACAATCTAACGTTAACAGAATTAAATTATTAAAAAGGAACGTATATAGTATAATGATAAAATTACATTCCCACCTTTCTATTTTCTTTATCGACATATTTTACAATTCAGTTATTCAAATAATATGTTCAATTTCATAATCGTTTTAATTTTGTGAAACTACAGGCGTCTGTTTTGTGCATATCCGAGCCAAAGTATTACAGATGAAGAGTTTGAGAAAAGTAAGACTTGACTCTTTGTAAATTTTTGCTTATATAATATTTACATAATCTGTACAAGAAATCTACTCGAATAACATGTAAAAATCCTGAATTGAGAAGACAAAGTATAACAGTACTATTATTAAAAAAAAATAAACACTAAAACTTTGCAATTCTCAAACGATGAAGCGCACAGATGTCGGTTATATCATCTAAGCCACAATCGAAAAAAAGTTGCGTGCTGATACGTGACTAATAATAAGTAAACGAGTAAGTTTGACGAGAATATCGGGGATAAACGAAACCAGATTAAGCGCTACGTTCAAAACAATGTAAGTCATTTAACATGACCGGTTTTGGAGAGTAGCGCTCATGATGTAATTGGGCAAGCAAGGAAAATTAAAAAATTAGTCGAAAGTATCAACATATCGGAGTATTTATCTCAATGTCTTTTATTGTTTTTCAATAAATAGAATTAAACGAATTTAAATCGTCTACTATGTTTGGTCGTCCGATTTTCAACGTGGCACGTACACTTTTGTCTTCAAAATATACAGATTTTATTAACAGATCATTAGCTCTTCTTTTGTGGCCTGCACTTCTGGCAAGCATACCAGCCAAATCATTTATGGAAGATGCTAAGCGTCATTGGCAAGAAGCCTAGTAAGCATATATCGACTTATTATAATTTCTTGTCTATTCTCTTGTGATATATATATATATATATATATATATATATATATATATATATATATATATATATATATATATATATATATATATATATATATATATATATATATATATATATGTATACCAAACATTCGGTCGGTCATATCTCTTCGAAAATATAGTGACTATGAAGTAGGTGATTTCACGCGTTGTGAGATTTAACGTGATCAATTGTTGCTAATCGATATTTTTAAACATCACTGATGTTTAACATCTGAAAACTGTATCAAGGAAGTAAAAACTTTATTGCACAACTTATCCCACCTTATTGCCTAGTCTATGCCATTCTAAGTTTATATTTCCTCAGAATATTTGGAAAACGTACAAGTAAGTGATCAACATGCAGTCAGTTTAAAACGCAAATATTTTCTTCTATATCGTCAAACTCTCAGCACATACTGTATAATGCAATTCACTTCTTACAAGAAATTACATTTTGAATCCACTCATTTATTGTTGCTTGCCGCAAGTTTTTTATCTACTACCTCTATATATTCTAGAAGTGATCCGAAACTTTTGTGTACTAGGGTCCCTGAATGATATGTTGTGACTGAAGATATGCGAATTATGCATCCCATTCACATCTTATTGATCTCTGGCCAACTACGAAATCCTATCGTAGTTACAGTGATATCTCTTCGTGTAAGAAAACTAGGATGACAAGGTGTAACATTTATCAAGAAAAAAATCTGAAACAGTGAAACTATATTTTTTACACGACTGGAGAACATGTCTGCAAAGTTAAGAATATAATTATACGTACTACACTTCAGTATTTCAAAGCATTAAACATTAAAAGTGAAGTTGCAAATTTAACATGCATTTCTAGGTGACCAAAGTTATGGACTCATAATAATTTGAACACGTCACTATTCGAAAAGTCGTTAGTCATGTAAAGCAAAGATATTCTTTATAAACGGGTGTAGGACAGCATATTCTGGAATAAAATTCTTAGTTGTAGAATTTTATTTTAATGTATGAAAAACATCACTATTCGAGTGTGCCGTCACCCTAATGAGTACTATGTAAACTCTAAGTCACTTTATTAGTTTTTAATTGAAAGAGAATTTGAAGTCGGCAATTTTTAAAGTTCTCAAAGAGTTGCAATAATGCAGAACATATAATTATCCGAATCTATGACTTCAAAACAAGTCTGTGAGTTGTCTTATTACGTAATATGTTTTTTCTTCTAGTGAACATTCAGTCGCTAAATATCCCCAGGAAAATGATGAAGAAATCGCAGAAATTCAGGAGGATGACACTACTGCTCCTGTCAACAGACCTAAACGAAAACGACGAAAACAGGATTATTTCATGAACACACCAAATAAAAGGTAGGTAAAACTAAGCAGTCAATGAGAAACTCCTAGATGCGATGATTGTGTGTACATTCTTGCCGTTCTTTTAATGTGCTCGATTATTTCTTAATATTTGAGCTGTTTTACAACAGTTCCATATGATAGCTTTATACACGAGAAAAGATTACAGATAGTACTAAACTGCTTTGAAATGCGAAGTCCTTATTTTTAGCGTCGACTAAGCATAAATAAAGAATTGTTTTAGTTCAGAAACGAACTCCTAAGTAAATAATGCATGCTTTTTATTTATGATTAAAATTTCATGTGGATTTCCTACTGCCTGGTTTACTATTATCAGTATGTGGAACTTGATTTTCAACCACCTCTTTATGAAATCTGAATTCTCCCGACGATTAAGTGAACAAAGATTAGCACATATCTTTCCATTCAACTACATTCTGAATACTAATACCTGCCAAAATATGTTGATGTCTTGAATGTACACTTCTATCGGCATAACGTCAAATATCGGCGACGTGTTCGCCGTAAGACCGAACTCCAGAATTCGCTCCCTGGTAGGTTCGTGGATCTGCACTGTTAAGTCATTCGATGCTAAAACGAAATATTTAGTGCTTCTCAGTTTTCAGTTGGTTTCCCCAATTATGTTGGCTCGTGATATCAAAAACAAAACTTTTTAATCAGAAATTGTGTTTTTTGTCAATGAATATATATGGGCACTTCACTTTCTTATTATCACTCCTCTGAAAAAACCGGGCTATACTTTGTTTAACTAGACAATCCAATATATTCAGTTTACGAAACGAACTTGAGTCATCGAGAAAAACCAACCGTTCAATGTTGAAAATTATCATAAGTACATAATTTCTAAACGTTTTCTGCTGTTTTTCCAGGTTAAAAAGAAATCATAATTACAACGCGTTACTTAATTTTGTCGGGTCAAGAGTTGATTGGGCTAAGCGAATAAATGGTACCATGACATTTACAATAACAAGTGAAGATGGTGAATTACTGCAGGTCACTTTACCTAACGAGATAAGAATATTGTATTCATGTGGCTTCAAACCTGATTCATTTTTAAATCTTAGAAAATAGAATTTCAAATTTTCATGTTTTTGATTATACAAGATTCTATTACTTTATTATTTTATCTTTTAATGATACATATACACATTATAATCGAATCAGTCTTCTTCCTAATAGTAAAATAGATTAGTGCTGCTTTGTAAATGATAGATTTGTTACAAGATTCCTCTAATTCTATTATCATGTCGATTGCTCTCCGATTTCCTTCCTGTACTCTTCATTCTAATATTCTGCTGGTAAGCATTATCCTTCCAACTGCTGTTACATACTACTAACATCTACCGATATAAATAGCGTACACCATAGCTTCGAAAAGTTCATATCGCATACACAACTTGCACAAAATTCAGAAACGAGCTCCTACTTTAATGAAACTTTTCATTCGATCTATTTGCTTACATTTTCCAGCCTCGATATTTCATCCATTACAAACGTATGAGACTGTTATATTAATAATTTACGTCGATGATAGTTTTATAAATCTCAAAATTAAATTGACTTATGGCTGAAACACATCAAACCAAAGGGTACATCAAAATTAGCTCGTTATTTCATTCCATTGGTTTTTCGACAACACAAAATGAAAATGACAATATTTGCGAAATACGATGAACCCATTGGATTTTTCGGTTTGTCATCAGTTACATACAAACAAGCTGCTTGCAATGTAAATAAAGCAAACAATTGAAGTCTTAACAAGGTTTCTATAAGTGTGACAGCTCTGGAATATTTGTGATAGTTTTCGTTGCGTAATGTAACAAAGGTCTAGTAGGTTAGATCACTAGATTGTGGTTATAATTAATGTCTAACTTCATGTACATTTCACAATACTTATTTCTTATTGATGGAGGATTCACATTTCCAAATCCCAGTTTAGGTTAACACTTGAAAATAAGTAAACTTATCAGCATGTATATAACTGAGGAAACAATAAAGTTCAGAAATGCTAACTCTCTTACAGGTGATTAGATTTAGTTATTATTGAGTGATAATGTTTGTATGACTAACAAGCATTTCCAGAGAAGTTGTTTACATTGTCGAATTGAAAACGAATATTTAAGAGCAGATTGTGATCACTATTAGAGAACTACTTTAAGATAAAATCGTCGGTCCTTGTTCAAGCAAGTCTTTCATCTCAAAGAGTTATAATCGTATGTTGTTAGCAGTCGGCACGTTCAGCACCAGTTTCTATTCTCGAGAAGTTTCTTAATACTTAAATACACAATAAAAAGACTTGATTTCTCAGCAATAATATACACTGTACATAGTTCTTTTTGTAATATAACAATATCATTTACTACACATTCTGGTCAGAGATATGATTCGAAGTCACCAACTCAACAAGTGGGATAAGTGTGTTTTGAAGACAAAATACACGACAAGGTAGAACCGAAAGTATGGATATTTCTGATTGCTTTGAATTCTGTACAGTTTGATCCTCTGTATTATCCCATGTAAAAGTTATTGTATTGGTTTTTCCTGGAATTAAATCGTTGTTGGATAGTCCTTTATCTGGATCATCTTCCTTGACCGCTGCATTGTGTTGCCACTTGAAGACATTTTTCAAAAACTGAATGCATAAATAATAAATTTATTACAATTACTGATACAATAATTTGTTTTAATATAAACATGAATGTGGATCAATATATAATTGAAATAATTAGCTTACCTCTTTGATTTCTGTTTCAATGGTTAAGCCATAAGATGCGATCAAAATTCTGATTTTATTGGCGGACAAATCCATCACAGTACCATTTTCATAAAACGGGCCATAATCCTATTATTTTAGAAAAAAAGTGACTGTCGGTTAAGCTATCTCAACTATGATTTTTAAAGGTTGGAAAAATATAAACATTCTGGAATGGAGGAAAATAACGAGAAGCATAATGTTTAAGAAAAGTTGCATTGTGGTGTAAGTAATAGATACGTTGATAGGCAGACAATTAGTACAGTTGCCGATCATGTACTTTGCAGGAAAAATCGATTCATGTGCTAAGTAATTGCTCAATGTATCTGTAGTGAACGAGAACTCAGGTGAGGAAGATCAGCTTACTGTTCATTACAAAGTTACGGAATTCTTTCGTAAAATGTGAAAACGATATATTTAATAATTCATTTGCAAATCTTCCATCAACTGTCCTTTACATTCTTCATAATTCTTGCCATTCTCAAGTCCTTCATTTTTCCCTTTCTGTTTTCTTCAGTTCAATTTTATCAACCCTCTTTTGTCAAGCATTTCACTACTGATTGATGTTACATACTACATATGTCGGCAGACAGACTTGAAGTAAATTAATATAAAAAGAGTAAATGTTGCGTGAAAATTAATGAATGAAACGGATTTCAAGTCATATGTAATGATATGAACAGTATATGAACACTCACTCTAAGACAAGCTGTAAAAAACAAACGTTGGCTTGCTTCTCCAGCTCGTTTAGCCTTTAGTCGACGATCATTACACCAAGCAACCAGTAAATCTATATCAGAATTCTTAATATCTTTTTGTATTGAATTATTGCTTTGAAAAGATACTTGCAATTCTGGATAAACGGAATTATCACATTCCAATATTCTTGCTATCTGACGATGAGCAAGTAAATCAGCGTATCGTCTAATGGGTGATGTGAAATGTGTATACAATGGTATGCTGAGACCATAGTGCCATGTATAATTTAGCATAGTTCTATTATTTCGTTTTAATATCGATTTAGGATCAAAAGACAGCAGTCGTAAAAAATCATCATCGTATGAGATATTTTCTAACAATTTTTCTTCGTCATAACGTTTGCTAAGTATGTTATACATACTATCCAAATTAAAGTATAGAGCGACCTATAAAAAAAACAAAATATTAAAGAAATCTTATTTCATCCTGATGCACTTTAAAAAGTCTGCACTTTTGAGAACAATTTCCAAAAACCAACACTAATTGATAAACAATAGTGTCCGCGGACCCACCGAACAGTCACGGGTGTGTAGCTATTGTCAGGGAAGTCTTACTTCCTTAGCGCGACACGGATGAAGTAAAAGCCTAGGATAGTTATAAAAACATAATTAAAAACTGCGGGTGCACACAATCTGTAGAATCCTGAGGGAAATGAAGTAAAATCCCATTTTTGTCACTGGCTACACTGGTACGAACTTTCTTATCGCTGCTCCACTGCCTTTACCATAGACTCAAAAGAATGCTGAATTCAACCGAAAACCTCATAGACGCTTCAGTCATCGTTCTAATAAATTATGACATACAAAACTATTCTTGGTCGCCGACGACCATAGAACTGCATTTAACGGTGCTCTTCTTCCTTATGGATGAGACACCTAGGTAAACATACAGAGTGGCGCCCTAAGCAAACCACCTGCTCCGGTTTAGGCACCCGGGTAGTATCTCACTTCACACATAAACTAAATGACAGTTACAAACATTTATGCTTTATTCTTCATTTTCATTAATTACATTCACGATGATGCGGTAACATTCGTTTTTATTTTACATAACATCTCTCTTCAACTACCTGCTATTTTTTCAACTCATACAGCAATTATCCTATGGTGTAAATCCTCTCCCATCTAAACCATCTCACTCATCGGCCGAAATAGGAATGATACCAAGAAACACAAATACTGAACCGGCCTTTCTGAAACCATGCGTGCCATTCAAACACCACCTTCAACATCGGCAAACTAATACAGATCGAACAACAGATAAGATGGATTATGCCACTAGATAGTGTCAACATCGATGTCTATCAAAGACCTATAGCCAAGACTTTCGTTAAGCACAACAAATTCGCTCGCGATCTGTAGCTTCAAAAAACTTATTTCAAGTGCGTTTGTCCGAGGACCCTGTGACATATTCGTCTGATTTTCATGAGTTTGATGTTGCTCTATGCGTGAGAGAACTGGCCTCTCCGAGTTCAGGAGGCAAGACGTCTTTCTGTGTTTGAACATCGTTCTCTTCGAAATATTGCTGACAGTCAGTGGAAACACTCTAGAAATAATCCACTGCTTCCCCAACCTATGTTCGGACACAGTGAACATGAACCATTTGATGTCACCATCTTCAAACATCGAATTCCCTGGCTTGGACATGTACTACAAATGTTGTCACAGAGAATCCAACATCGTGCACTATATACCGACGCTGAGACTGTTTGGAAAAAGTGGAGAGGTCGACAGTATATCACATGGTGTCGTGGTATGAACAAATGTCGTACACGACTGGCATCTGTCGACCCTTCACAACTCATTAGTTAAACTCCTAGAAAAAGTGAAACACAATGCTTACAGACATTATCAGATATGGCTCGGAATAGAAACCAGTGGCGAGTCTGTTGTAAACTTCTTTCAATTTCTTCATATAGGTATGGAGAACCTCTATAACTCAAATAATTCATTCAGGCTATATTTTTGTCAACTGAACTGCTTCTCCTATTATTATTATTATTATTATTATTATTATTATTATTATTATTATTATTATTATTATTAACATTTTTCTACTCTTATACACTAATTTCTATCCAGTTTCGTTCTGTTTGATTATAGTCACCTTCTATTCGCGATTTTCCGACAATCTCTTATTTTATTGTGCGGTGCATATTTATCTTGGTGTCCAGTTGTACTAATATCTATATGTTTAAATGAACATGTGTGAGGTATTTTAAAACTTGATATCGAATTGAAGTGTTCTGTTTTTACAAAATGTGAAACAAATATATTCACTTTATATCATTAGTTACACGACAGAAGCACCAAATATAACTTATAAATTGAGGGGTAAAATTACGAGATGCTGAACCAAGAACCTAAATTTACAAGTTTATTTTAGATGTATTCATAGATTATTGGAATTTGCAAATCAGATAGTTTTTAAGAGATTATGTCTTCTTCAATAATAAAGGGAGTATCGATGAAGTTACAACAACGATGTTGAATAAAACGTTTGAGAAAAACACTATGGAAAACTCACAGATAGGCGGATATAGGTCATATATGACAAAGAAGACATCAAATTTAAGAGAAACGATTCGTTATAGGAGTTTTTTTCAGCTATACTATGAGCCAACTTTTTGACAGAACACTGAAAATAATAAGAAAAAATGTAATATTAAACGAAATTTAGAACACTAAAAATAATCTTCAAGTTTATGCAAATGTATACTTCTTTTTCTCAAAATAAACTCAGAGGCATGATGATCATTTAGCTCTATATCAATAAATAATGAAGTAAAATAAAGGAACATAATCTAATGGTAATTACTCACGGAAAGTGAAAGAGAACTTGAGGAATCGAAGTCAATGTTGTTTGATTTTGCTATTTTTACCTAAGATAAATAAAAATAAACTTGAAAATAAGATATATTCCATAGTGAATAATGTACATGCATAAAGTAAACAAATGAATAACACAATCATCAAAAAACTATTGGATGAACAGTTGTTTTATGTGTAATGAAGGTCAGTAAAAAATGAGGTTTTTTAGTGGATTTAGAAAAAAAATATTTTTAATACAACCGAAATCTAAAAAAAGTTTCGCTTGACAGTTGTGAAATTCCGTTCGTTTCAAAGCAGTACTGAAAAAAGCTATAATCAAGATAGGTTAAAGTATTCAACGGAATTGAAGAAGGATACACAACAATCAGTGAGTTGATTTCTTCATATAAATAATTGTGTACAACAAATATACTACAAGATGGGGGAAAAGTGTCCATAGATGTTTCATCCATCACTGAAGAATTAGTTAGAATTCGAATGCGCTGCTTCCATTGGTAGGTCCTTAGACTTACGTTTGATTAATGTAGCTGAATAAGTATAACAATTTCTTCGAAATACACATTCATTCTTTGGCTTAATAAGTATATATATGATATTAATTGTCACGCAATCAATTCTTTTTAATTACAAGTTGGATAGCGCTCTCCAGCAATAAGTAAAGGATTTCTATGAAAAACCATTAAAATGATTTCTACCAGTTGTTTACTCATAAATCCCATACGAAATATCAACATATCATTTTTTTTATTTCAGACATTTTAATATATCGTCTGAGAAATGTAAAATTCATTTAAATGAATCAGTTTCATTCAAAACAAAACATATTGACACCTTGATTATATCCATGGTAGCGCAGTTTAAAAGAATAGATAGTCCACTTGGTACCTACTAACCGACCGGCTTCTATCTGCGTATTGATTTCTTTTCAAATCAGAATAAATTACTAGTAGATTCCTACGTCCGAGCATATTCATTGGAACACTTGGGACAGGAAGTCTACTGTTTGTTTCATAGGAATGATATTCATTATAGGAATTCATCTTTTTCAGATGATAATATTTAATAAAAATCGAATTATTACAGAATATATAGAAGTAAAACGTAAACGAATTCACCTATCCTATATCACTATATTAAGCGAAAAACTTCCCTATTCCATACTAATATCGACAAATCAGAAAAGATAAAAGTTAATGATTTTGAGAAAAATTTGTTAGGTTTGAAACAATTAAATTATACGTAATGTTAATGTTTCAATAATAATTAAATATCTTTTTTGCTTATGAAACCCAAAAGTCACAATATAAGATGTGTCTTGTGTGAGTTTATTCGCAGTAATTTGTGGATATTTTTTGAGAAAATGCACCACTAATCCCTGTTTATTTAGCGAATTCCGATAATTATGGATAAAGTTGTAAAACATATACGTTGGGAACCAAATATGAACAAAAGTTAAACAAGAGAAAAAATTACGAGCATAAAGTTTTTGAAATTACCAATTGACTAAATCTATTTCTATCCGGTTTCGAATGATTTCGTAGCGTTGCACCCAACCATTTCTGATTATTATTGCCCGTATCAACAGTAATTTCAAAAGGTTGCACACCTTTAAGTCGTTTAATAAAGTTTCCGAATAAAAATCGAGCAACAGATTGATTAGCGACAATCATCCATTCTTCAATTAAATGATGAGCAGGATTACGTACTTTCACAGAGAAACCCTGAGGCCAAAGTGTAGTTGAACTACGAAGTAAGGTATTGAAAATGAGAAATAGCCGAACATTATGCACTTTTAACTAAAATGTATTGATGGCATATATATAATTTATACACTTCCTGTTTAATAATGAAATCCCATTTCGATTGAAATTTTTTATCAATTGAATATTTTGTAATCTGAAATAGTTCACACACACACACACACACACGGTAAAATGAAGTAAGACAATCTAAGTATTTGCTAAAAGGCACTGTATAACGTTGAAGCTACTCCCAGCTAGTTTTAGGTGTTAGATACAGTATCTTTGAGCCTCACTACCGTAAACATTTGACATAATGACAACATATAACTCTTCATACACTATTGATGATACATCACATAGCCAAACTATCACGAGCAATATTGTTTGAATATTAAATAAAAGCGAAAGCAAGAACCTAACTGCAACATCTACGACAGAAAAGATGAATAAATTTAGAAATAATATTCGAACACACGTATTTTTCTACTAGAAAAAAAATCAGAATAAATTAGCTTATGATATATTTATTGGTTAGATAAGTTTCTTCTAAATGACGGATACAAAATGAATAAACATCAACCAATTGGTTGGATCCCCTAGATTTTAACGCGTCTATACTACAAATTATTTGACAACTTCAACACAACAAATAAGCTAAGAAAATGGTGATGAAACAGAAACCACTTTTAAACGGATAAAAAAAGGCTGTTCTGAGATATTTACCATTCATTTGTGTGTTTCTCCATTACAGGTAGTGGTTTTGGAAAACTAAAATTCAGTTCTAATTTGTCGAAAGATATAGCGCCATTTTCAATTCGATGACTACGTAGATTTGTTGCTATCTGCATATGAAGAAAAAAATTGTTAAAACATTGCTGTAGATAACATATTTTTAACTAAAGAAAATTATCAGCATACAAGCGAAAAGTTACTCAGTGCAAACAAATCAGCCAAATAGTGATTACCAAGATAGAACCTGGTACAAAATTGTAAATAAATTAACTCAGACATCAGGTAATTGGGTATAAGCCACAAACACCATAGGTGTAACGGGTGTCAGTAGAACTTGGTACATATGTACATCGGTTCAAGTCGACGCAACGCATTAGCACAGTGGAATAAAATAGTCAAAGGAAATCCCAGAGTAGTGAATATAGAAACAATGCTAGTGGCAATAGAAAATCTTATGCATTCAAAATACGATTTGAGAAAAAAAACAGTTGAATAAATAAAACATTGTAATGTAATTTAAAAACTTTTAATCCTGGGTAAGATAGCAAAGATAGATAACAGTTATATCGTAAATATTATCCAAGAACTTAACGAATTCCGACCATAAATAAGTAGTTTCATTTTTGTATACGTAAATTTTTAAAAATTCCTTTATTGATCATGGTACACGACAGACTATGTAACTTTAAGTTTCACACTACAGTTTAAGCAAGTCAGGAGTTTTGGTGAGGTTTCATCAGGCCTAACAAATATTAATGCAAACATCTAGTAGCATTCAAATTTTTACAAACAGCTGGCTTAGTGGATCGGAATCTGTCTATGTTGTGGTTGGGCAACCGAACAATATCACAAGTGTCTTCATACAAGTGAGGTTGTCTAAAATCAAGGTATATAAGTCTACACTTCGTAAATGAATTCGAGTTAATAATATTAGATTATAATTTTAATCCAGAGAATAATATTCCTGATAAATATGACAAAAATTATGTCCACTGTCGCAGTTTGGACTAATCACTGCAGCAAAGTATATGAATAATTAAAATTCAAGAAAATCAAACTAGAATATGAAATCACAAATCACTGTTATACACAGAAAACTAGTGGGACTCAAAGTTTTCACATTACCGATTAACACGTAAAATAAATTTACCAAACAATGAATAAATATGCTGTTTGTTTGGTCCATCGCACTCCCACGAAATTCGCATATATCTAGATGGCGTGGTGTAAAATCGACGTTACATTCATTTGTTGCCTCACTTTGAATCTTTAGTTGGGTATCAGTACTAAATTTTCACCTATCGATTTCATTTTTTTTCTAAACTACGTTTTTACTGCTATGGATATTATTACCATTTTCCCTCTTGATGAGTTAGTGTGAAGTTAAACAACTAGGACGAATGAGAAACCGGTCTATTATAGACGGGTCCATCTATTCCATAAAAATTGTGGTTATACCGAGACAATCCGCACAATTTGCTAATATGCCAACAAAGACTAAAAATTCAGAAAACGCTATCACAACGGGATAATTCAAATCCATCCTAATAACATTAAACACATGGTGAGGCAGTCAACGGATGGGTATCGGTATTCTTAGATGCGGTATTTATGTGCACTGATTTCTTATCGATTGCTTCTTACCATCTAATAAATTTACTGTAAACCGAAATTTGGGAAATAATGAAAATTATCGTATCATATCCATAACGGGAACCACACTTCAGCTTTCAACCTCGACAATTTCATTTTCGACAACCAAACTTCTATAATCATGAGCAATAAGTTGAAGTATAATTTCACAGGTATTTATTTCAAGTTACACGTGTGATGTCAATTTCAACTAAAATTAACTACTAAGACGACATGACCATCAACTAAGGAGTAGAGACTTGGCAATTTTTTAGTTAAGTAAATAGCATTTATATAACTTCATCAAAGGAAATAAATCTGTGAAAAATGAATTATCCGGGACACCAACTAGAAATTACAATATTACAAAAAAGAGGGCACAATAAACTAATTAGAAAAGGGTGAAATTACCAGATGCAGAGAAGACAGACAATTTTGAAGATCTTGAAACGTGAAAGGAGCTTCAGGCTTAGGCAAAAATTCTAATAAACGTGATTTATCTTCGATGGTTGGATTTGACTGTGTCGTTTGGATTATGCTCCAGGCTTCGTCATATGTCAAGCGGCAACGTGAGCGAATTACACTTCGACCAAACCATTCATTGATAATCTGAAATATTTTTTTTATTTTTAGGTAGACAACATTGAATATGGGAAAAAATAAAATAAATTTTAAGTAATCAGTCATGTTGCATAATAATAGACTCCGAGAAAACATTATAAGCAGTTTTTTAAGAAAAACGAATCGCATGCATAGTTAGTTCCGGATAAGAATTTGATAGATGTTAGTGAATCGGCTGTGAAAATGTAAAATTGTCCTGACAGTTGTTGTGAATGACAAATAAGATTATAGGCGTATTAGTCCACATGATATGCTCTTAAATATCTATAACCTATTTCGATAATATAATACAAATTTAAGGAGAGCAAAAAGTTTCTTGGATGTGTCTGACTAAACTTAAGCTGATTAATTTGAAATAAGTATTGGACAAAATGACTAGGAAGAGAATGTGAAAATAACTATGATTATAATCACTATGTTAAATAGTCTCTTTCAGTTACCTTGATATTTATTTATTTGAACACATCGATATTGGTACAAGGAAGCACCAAATACATATGCGCCACACAAATCTCACCTGATTTGTGTGGGGGCTGTGGTACTGCCCGGGTGCCCAAACCGAAGCAGGTGGTTTTCTTAGGGGACCACACCTGAAGCCTTCGACCTAAAGGTCTGACCCACAAGGCAGTGGAGCATCGTAAGGAGATGCAGTCCCATGGTAGCCGATGACGAACGATAGATTTATACGTCATTTGTTTCTGCAGGATACTGGAGCCCATGTGCACAATTGGTTCGGAATCAGAACTCACCGATTCCCCTAGGTGGACTCTCCATTTCCACCAACCCGGTAAAAGCGCCGGACATTCGCTTTTCGTCTTCTCAACTTCGTAAACAACACCCCCGCCACGAGAAGGCAGTGAGTAGGACTTCCCTGGCAGAGGCTATATACGCGTGGCCATGTGAGAGCATTTCGAGAGGGAGAGCGGACTCTCCCCACTCTCGGCCGTACCAGGGCATGTGGAGGCACCTTGATATTTACACCGATGTGTACTAATTACTAGTGTATTTTGGTTCTATGCGTCAAACTAAAGTATACCAATGAACCATTCTCATCAATTATAGGAGCATCTAATTATTGGAATATTAACGTCATGCAAAATAAATAGATATAACCAAATTATCAATAGGCAGTAGCTGACATTATACATAGAATCCAAAAAGTGAACAAAGATAAGAACTTTGTCGTTGTTTAATTACTATGGACTAATATACCTTATGGTTAAAGGCGGTGAAAATAAACACAATCTAATTCATTATTAACAAGCGAATGACTGTTTACAACATTTTGACCAAGTATCTTTTATACTAATTGAACTATTTTAACAACCCTTTTATTTCGCTATAACGGTTATTACTGAGAATATTTCAACAGCGTTAGCAAGCCATTTCGAAAGTAATCAAAAAAGAATCCTACTAATTTCGGCTGCCCTAATCCACACAGAAGGTTAGTAATCTAGATCCTTTGTTAATTATCAACTAAGACTTTATGTAAACAAAAAGTAAAAAGAGATCCTAATTTTTGGAGAAAAATCAGAGCAAGCAGTCCACTCAAACATGGATGAGATCAGTCCAGTTTGGGTAAAATCAATGAATTCTATGTACAATATTAAGCGATCGAAAATAAGAATTTTTTTCAAACACTAACCTCACCATTCTCTTTTACTGTTAATAAAATTGAAAAAGCCAATCGATCTTCATTAGGTACAAGACTACATAAATGTTGTGAGAGGATAGGTGGTAACATTGGTATGACCTATTATAAGGGAAAAATAAAATATACTTAAGAGTAGAAGAATATATAATTGTTTGACAAATTCTGTTTACGACAAAACATCAACAATCGAGTCAGATTACATTAACTAGTAATGTTGAGTGGAAATAATAGTGTTGGATGAAAAAGATTGAAATGAAAAAACAAATTTATGTTCATCCATATAGTTCATTAAATCATACAGTGAAAGACAATCAAAGGAATCGAATTCAGCTACATTAGGGGAGCGAAATACCCAATATGTGAACTTAAGTTTAAATATCCAATAAAAGACAAATAGGCATTGAATGTCCGGGACACAAATAAAATGGTGTCAAAGTTGTATCACTTTATTAGGAACAAGAAGAATATTATTAAAAGTAGTGCATAAATCTTAACTGTTAGAGTAGTAAGTAACCCATGAAGTGAACAGTTAAGGAGGTTTTTCTTTAAAGAATCTGATCAAGCATAATTTAACATGTACTGTACATTAAACGACAACACATAGCTGTGTCAATCTGATGTCAATGAGTGATAAAAATAAATTCAGTGCTATTTCGGATATCACTAAGCTATCCGAAACATATAAAGCGTCAAAGAGTGAAACACACTGGAAACAAGAGTAACACTGCAAGAAGGTAAACGAATCAACACAAAAATACAAACGTAATTGGACGAAATCGGTAAGTCGTAGTGACAATATATCATACGATACGTAGATCATAAAAATGTTTAAACATAAAATAAGTCATTGAAAAATGGAAAATAGTGTAGCACAAGACAAAACAACCAGAGAATAAATGGAAAAATTGTGAAAGAAAATCAACAATACCATAGGAGAATAACAAAGTAAATTCATTTCCCATATTGGTGAGTTAAAAAAATATATAAATGGTCGCTGAAATGATGAAAAATTGGCTTACTTTCTGAACCAGATAAACGGAAGTAGTCCTATCTGCAGCTCTCTTATCTAATGGACTATTAGGGTAAACAAAGTATGATACATCTGCAATGTGGATCCCAACTTCATATAAGCCTAAAAAACGAATGAAATAAGAGTGTAAATCTATTATTGACTATAAGATAAAACATAACAAATATATATTATGCGTTACAACTAGTTTAAATATACAGTGATATAAAGAGATCACTTAAAATCCGTGAACGTAACGAAGGATCAGTAACACAACGACACGACAGCTAAAATATTCCAGTGTGTTCCAGCCCAGCTGACTAGAGAGAGAAACCCAAGATCAGAAGAGAGAAATTCCAGAAGCAGCCAGAAGCACGAACAACAACAACATCGTTCTCTCCGAAATATTGCTGACAGTCAGTGGAAACACTCTAGAAATAATCCACTGCTTCCCCAACCTATGTTCGGACACAGTGAACATGAACCATTTGATGTCACCATCTTCAAACATCGAATTCCCTGGCTTGGACATGTACTACAAATGTTGTCACAGAGAATCCAACATCGTGCACTATATACCGACGCTGAGACTGTTTGGAAAAAGTGGAGAGGTCGACAGTATATCACATGGTGTCGTGGTATGAACAAATGTCGTACACGACTGGCATCTGTCGACCCTTCACAACTCATTAGTTAAACTCCTAGAAAAAGTGAAACACAATGCTTACAGACATTATCAGATATGGCTCGGAATAGAAACCAGTGGCGAGTCTGTTGTAAACTTCTTTCAATTTCTTCATATAGGTATGGAGAACCTCTATAACTCAAATAATTCATTCAGGCTATATTTTTGTCAACTGAACTGCTTCTCCTATTATTATTATTATTATTATTATTATTATTATTATTATTATTATTAACATTTTTCTACTCTTATACACTAATTTCTATCCAGTTTCGTTCTGTTTGATTATAGTCACCTTCTATTCGCGATTTTCCGACAATCTCTTATTTTATTGTGCGGTGCATATTTATCTTGGTGTCCAGTTGAACCAATGTGCATGCGTTTAAATAAATGCACAAATAAAATATGCACTAGAGAACAATAAATGTGGTTTTTACTGAATAGAATAGAGCACACAGGCCTAGTAAAGAAGTATACTTTTACATTGTTTTCGAAGGCAAGGAAATATTTTTAAAAAAAGTAACATAAGATGACTTATTCTTGTAGCAGTAAAGTCACATTATATTAGACTGACTGAATGTTAAGATGATTTAAAGTTAGATAAATTTTTCTATCAATCACATAAATCATTAATTTATTTGAAGTGAATCTCATATTTACAAGCGATATTCACAATTATCATTGATTATTAAAAGTGTGTTAAATTCGTTTAGGATCAGACACATTTATAAGTGGAAAGAGCTTTGTTTATATTAAATGCTAATAATCTTACCATTTTTCAATCGAGTGATATGTAATGCATCATCGAAATCTTTTGCATCTTTTGGATCAATGGTGACAATACAATGAGAACGGAAATCTTTTCTTCTTTTATACTCTGTTTCGGGTATTTGAAACTCTTGTGGGCTAGTCGGCAGACCTTGTAATTCCTAAAATAGGAAGATGTAAAACGTCAACAGTACGTGATCTAAAGGATTTATAATGATATTATATTAGGGGGATAATAAAGTTTTGAAAAGTGAATCATTTTGAACAATTAACTTACTTCTGGTGTGAATTGATCGTCAGTGATTCCATGTTCTAAAAGAATATTTACAGTTGCTTTTTCCAGTTCATTCAAATTTCCGAAATTTTGTTCAATTACCCTGTAAATAATTTAATTTTTGCACACATACATAAAAATCATAAGGTCAACGGAAGTGAGTTTATTTAATTTAGAATTCTGGATGGAATTATGCGTTTTTAATATCTGAACAAAACAACGACATTCTAAATATGTTCTGTGACACTTAAGTCGGTGGGCACAATTACTACCACCACTAAACCGATTCATATGCACTAATTATACAATCTAATTGAAAAAAATAATGCCATAAATCAGTACTACTTCAGGATATAATTAAGAGAGAGTAAAACTTGCAACGATGCAGAACTACCACTATTTATCTTTAACGAAGCATGAATGAAGTTGAGGAAAAAAGAAATTGAACAGTTATTCATCGTTCAAACAACATAAATCATTAAATTATAGATGATATTTACATATTCTCAATTGATTTTTGAGGATGAATTTTAAAAGATGAATAAAAGACAACATACAACTAAATACACAATACAATATATGGATGGTGACATTTTTACATCGTTAATAAATATTTAATTGGAAATGAAAGGAATAATTCAAAATGGTAGAGTAATATTTGTTTGAACTACCCTAACAGTACACTACTTATCTTACAAATTATGTTCTTTTATAATAATAAATAGGTCACTCTTTGCGCAATTCTAAAACAACAAGATGCTGGAAATGCATGCCAATGGATGTAACATTCATGATTAACTAAGGATAGTAGAAGCTGGAACATATAATCCTTATGGAAAATGAAACTTTACTTAGTGAACCCTTAGATTCCCTAAAAGGGTCGTTAGAAAGTGTCAAAAAACAGAGCGATTTCCTGAATAGATGACATGAAATCAAATGAAAATGAAAATGTCAATTTAAAAAAATACTTTTCAGTGTAAATGAACTTCGTCGCAGAATATCCATAAACTAAAATTTGAAATGACAGTGTTATTTAAGAACGAACCGAATACTGTCAATGGGTCAATCATCCAACCAAGAGAACTTACTACCAATGTTACACTCCCTGTGTAAAAGTATGGGGATTACTATAGTGATGACGTGAGAAAGGAAACTTTGTCAAACAAAAAACGAATTACATGATAAACTAGCTTGATTAAATGACATTAAATTAAACAAACTCGTTACCCAAGAGGATATTTTGAGTTTTCGAACCATTTTGTAATTCGACACACATAACTACTTTTTAATCCAAGTTGATGATCCTTTAGTGCATCTGTACAAACAAAAAAGTGGTTTTTTTCAAAATTAATACGTGACATGTAAATGGATTCAGATTAAAAGAAATGTCTGCTGCAAGCTGGAATACAAATTTTAATTGTGACAGAATACTACTTCATTGTATGGGAAATAAAATTACTAATCAACAGTTGAAAAATGAAGCGATCTCCGGAGTTAAACTTTCGAACTTTATATATCGAAATTCTGTTCCGAAAAGAACTTTTTATATCCATCTACCATTAAGAGATGAATTTAACAGTACGGTTTTAAGGCAGAGATTGAAAGCAGCCATCGAAAAAACATATGCTGCTAAACTGGTTATGATTGAAAAAACTAAGTCCATGATTCCAAATAGACCTGAAAAATGCACGGACGATTACGTCACATCCCTCTGCATTTACCAGTTTACATGTTTCTGCGGACACATATACATAGGGAGAAGTAATCGAACAATGCAATCAAGGGTTATAGAACATGTGCCTAGATTGTCTCAAAACCAGTTAATGTAAAATGCTCCGAACAACATGGATAGTAGAAAGCCATGTTCATCTATTGCAAAAAACACAAGTGAAACAGGACACAGAATTAACATCAATACAGCACAGAAAACGTTGTATAAAAATTGTCAAGGACGAATTCCCAGGTTAACTGGAGCCTTGGTTATTCGTAAATTTATCCCCCCCCCTATGTGTACAAAACCAATTTGTCGTAACCTTGAATTCACCCTGATAATCCTTCAGTCATTTTATGGCCTAGGGAAATGCGACAACTTCCTATTCTTTTTATACGATGTTAATTTTCTCTCTCCTTTATTACTTTGTTCGCTTGAATCTTCATTTAATTGACCTTTCAACTCCGTTCTCTCATTTTTCTATTAAAATTACAGTGTTATCTAAGCACATATGAATGATTAAGCAGAAATATTAAGGAACATGAATTATAATTTAAACAAGTGAATAATCTACGCAAAATATTTAAAATCTATCTTATGAAACTGTGGAAAATATTGTACCCAATCAGCGTTGAACAGAAGCATCTTAGAAAGCGAAGTCATGTGCCACACTTCTGATTGGATAATTACCCATATGTTGCTACAATATTCAGTATGGTTTCAAAGATTTTCAGAAGCCCAAGGTCATCTGAAATACTATAAACACCCTCGATTTCCTGTGAGTAAACTAACCTTGGAGTAAAGCGTAGTTTGCACATTCTGTGCCTTTTCTTTTGTGCTTAAGTTGCCGAGTAAATTTAGCCGGTGGTTATTCGAATGTTCAGTTAGAAGAATTATCAGAAACCGTATGACAATCAGAAGTGAAAAATTAAGATTTTTATTTGTAAATTGAAATTACATAACTAAATACCAGTCATAGCTATTTAAAATATACATCTACGATTCCAGAAATTGTTTTCAGATACAAAAATCATTTTGATCACTATATTTATTGCAAAGGTTTAAGCATTCTTGTTGTTGTACTTTAGAGATAATCAAATAAGCTTTGATCTGTATAAGAACTAATAGGATGAATTTTACGATATTGTCTGCATTAACAACAAGTAAATTCATACATTATATCAACTGAACTAGTAATGTGTATCACGAATAATGCTAAGGTTGAATGAAACGTTTAAAGCTGGAAAAGTAAGTTGTTTGTTAAGGTTATATAATATCGTAAACTGGACACTTGCTTATTCCGAACTACATTTCTTACGTTTAGCTTAACAGTTTCGTAGATTTTGACTTAACGTTCTATAATTCTCAACACGTTGATTTCCTGTCTTGAAGTGAAGATCGGTGGTAAATTCGATCGAAATACATTATCAAATTTTAAATTCACCACAACTGGCCGATCATCGTGAATAATGTTACGGCTCTTTATGTGATTAAATTAGGGTACCGGTTTCTGCATTATTATGAAAAGTGAAATGCTAGTATAACGAATAAACAAGCAGGACGAAACACATTACTTGGATATCATCGTTTGCCATCATTAAGATTACATTGCATTTCAGTCTCAACTGCGGTTAACAAGCAACTGAATAAATTAAAATGCATCATCATAGGATTCATGCTTTTAGACATATATCAACGTATCAAAATTTTTATTTAGGTTCAAAAAGCCACTACATATCAGTCTTATTAGCCAAACTACTGCTAACATAATAGACATTTACAAAAGATAGTGCTAGCAAGTAAATGAGTGACAATATAAGTCATACAGTAAAGTATAATTTGTAAAATACAACCAGCTTACCCGAAGGGACAGTAGATGGATCTATGTGAACTAGTGGATGATTACTGGAAGAAGGGAGAAGAACACACGAGTAATCTCCGTGCTTTTGTGAAAATTCAGAACTACGATTTAAAATACTTGGGTAAAAAGCAAGACAACCCAAAATTTTCTGATTAGCTGGATTTGATTTCAAAATTTTTCTAACTACACCTGTACGAACTAAATTAGGATTTGGCAAAGAACACAATGCACTTGGTATACAAGACAGATCTAAATTCTTAATTGTGTCCAATAATTTAGTATCGCTAATATTTTGAGAGTTTTCTATCACATAACTGATAGAGTAGAACCAAGATTTTTTAAATTCTATGGATGTAGATGGTGTTTGGTCTGCCAATATTGGTGATTCACTAGCAACAACTGCTTCAAGTGAAGTAGAACCAACAGCTGAATCCAATACAGAACTTTCATCCGTAGACTGAATTACATCTGAAATAACCATCTCACTATCTGAAATATCTTTTTCGGGAGATTCTAAATTTTCAATACCAGTTAACTACAAGAAAAAAATGAATAGACAGGGCGAAATTTATAATAAATAGAGAAATTATTTTTAAATTATTTGGCATCGATGTAAACAGAAAAATAAAGCCATGACGGACAAGGGAATCTACTTTTGGGGATATTATTTGATTTAATTTGTGAAATATTGAAATTTAGCTTTCTCCCTACGTTATTCTATAGACAACAAGCTTTAGTTTGACGTATGACTTACTGCCATGACATTTTCTATTCCAAAGATATTGTAATTTAAACGTACCTTTTGTGCTCTTTCTCTGCCCTAGTGACCAGTTTATACAGAATTGTACTTACCTAGTTGTTTGTGAGTAGTGCTTGGGTTAACCATCTATTTACTTATATATCGTTTCATACTAATCTGAATCGAATAGTGTTTCGATTGACTCGTTCTCTCTCTCTCGCTTGTCAATCAATCCGGTGGTAGAATAGTTTTCGTCTCCTTACCCAAGGCCGTTAGCCCCAAATCGGACTCACGTATCTCCAACCTCAAGGCTGAACCAATTAGACTATCATGTCAAGACCTTAGCTTAGACAGTGACAACTCTCGCGCATATTATTGAGTAGACAGACCAAGGACGCAACAGTCATCGACAAAAAAGTTTTGATACTTAAGTTGTGAGAGATGAGTATAATTTAAGATACTCTGAAGAAAAATTGAGGCATGATTTTATCTTGTTAAATAAATAATTTTCAAGTATAAAATACATCTAGTAGCTGTTTAGAGAACATCCATTGAGGTGAAGGCTCGTTGCTATCAGAGTAAACAAGTGTTAGATGATACTAATATAAGTTTCTTGCATGGAGAGGGATGAGATCATCCTCCTAAAGTTTAACATGGAAGCTAAAGCAGTGACTTATTTGTTGGTTGGCTTCAACTGTCTAATACAATTAAGAAAGTTATGATAGAAAAGAGTAATCACTATAATGAGTGAACAGTACCCACAATATGTACTATATTTCTCAAAACATCATCAGACTGTTTCGTTGTGTATCTTTTTGGTGGAAAATAATAAAACGATAACCAGATAGATTTCAAAAGACAGTTTAAACTTCTAGATTTCAGTTAGTTGACTGAAAAAATATTTTTGTATTTCCCAAAAGAAATGAAAACAGTGGGATGTTTATGAACTGTCATAGAATAAAAAAACATTGACATTTCATAACAAAAAATTAGCTCTACTAACTAAACACATGTAACAAATCCATGATATTTACGAATGAAGATAAACGATTTATGTTTCTAATCTATCAGTTAGTCATAATTAATGTGGAGCCAAGCATAAATGTGTGCTAACCCAAGATGTCCGTTATCACATACACGTAAAGAATCGAAATTAACGAGGTGAATAGAAAATGAGTTGAACTAATTGAAGTAGCAATCGAGATCAAATACAATATTCGTACAATGATGGTAAATATTAAACGTAATAAACAAAAATGCGAGACTATAATTTATGAACGAACTAGTGAAAATACAGATAGCAATCCCTGGATTTAGACGTGAAGTTCATCCATTCATATAGTTAAATAGTATTTTTGGATTAGAGCTAATGTCAGTTCGTGATGAAAACCCTTATTTTAATTCTTAACCATAAATTCTAATTCTAATTCTTTATACTAATTTATAACCCTATTTTAACCCTAGTATGTAGGTGACCAATGTCACGTTAGCGTTCGTCAAACGTCATCAATAAATTATAGTTTCACCAGAAAAATATATAATCCACAAATTGGTAACACATGGTAAGTAAATAAAATTGATTATGGGAAAATATATCAAGGGATTTACTTTCCATTTTCCAATAGGCAATAATTCAACCAAAACAATATCTCCATTACGTGCATTGTTACAATTTTCATGAGAAATTTGAATACGTTTACCATCGTATGGATTTATCACATGAAAATTTTCTCGTGATATTTCATATAATTTAGCCTGAGAAAAAAAAGAAAGCGGACTCTAATGATTTGAGTACTGTGTGCCGAATATACATGCTAACTTTGAATGAGTGTATAGAACAAAACTGTGTCATCAACGTTGAATATGATCTTCAAATACTTCATTTATCAGTATGAAGGCTGTGGAGATTGTTGAATATTATTGAGATCACGAAGCGATCGAAGTTATATCTCTTGTAACCCGTATTCTGCGTTAATCAAGTAGCGAAATTAACAATGTCATCGATAAAAACCTAAACCAAGCAAGTTTCAACTGTTCCCAAGTTTTTAATGAATAACTCATATCGGTTCATAATATCAGTTATTATGAACCTTTATAATTTAAGTGTGATTTACATTGTTCATACTCGTTTGTCTCCCACTCTTTTGCATATTGCCTTATACAACTTATTTACATTCAGTAAATGGTTGTATTCCCAGTAATTTTCAAATTTATGTTGTGACGCAAGTTCGTCGTGTAATATTCTGAAACATTTAAACATGTTTATAGCGTTTATTGTACTTATCATTATGACTACTTTACCTTAATCACTGTATAAGTTATCTACAGTTTTGTGTATTCATTTAAACGCAACAGTCTCCATATTGTTTTGCTCTTGTTTCGGTTGTTGATAAACTGTTACCAAATTTAGAAACAACTATCAGCTGTCTTTTGTATCATCGTACGTTGTAATTGTTGTTACAGGAAGTCTTTTTATTCCATACAAAAGAACGCGTTAAACGTCACAGACACCTTACAAGTTGAGGATTGTAACTAATTTTTGTGCAATATTCAATAACGAACCGCTATTCTAGAAAAATCGTTGTTTTGCGAACATCGGTTTCGAGCGTATCTTAATTGGGTGACCTGGATGCTTCGACAGACCTACCACAAACAAAAGATAATCTGAGATGGAGTTTCAAGTTCGTGAGTTAAAGATTCCTCTTAAACTCTAAACAATACAGATTGAAGTTAAACTTTACACTTTTATTCTGACTATCATAGCAGAAGTGTTCATATAAACACAATTAAACACGAGTTACAATTTTGTACTTGACCAAGCGGTCATTAAATTGTTCCGATATGTGAAAACAAAAGATTCGGTATGAACAGAATCGCTGTCAACTTGGATAAAATTTTTCGTAAAGCATTTTAACACAAAAGAATAATAAAATGTCGTGCTTTAGTGGTGCTACAAATTTTGTACAGTCACTTGGTAAAGTTAATTTATCATGTCATGGTTAGTCATTATTATTATCTTATTGTTATGACGTCAAAGAATCATATGAGAATAAAGTGTAATATTTTCAGGAAAAATAGTCAGAATAGGTGAGTGGTTTGAGACTGGGGCTAAAATAAAAAACTGAAAAAACAAATATCTGTTTCAATACATAACTAGTTTAATAAATGAAAAACCTCATTTTATGGTTACCTCATTCCTTATATTATATTATAAAACGTAAATGGTGTGCTATAAAATGCCCCAAATTTGAATACTGACCATCCGGAATCACTATGAAAACATTATTATCAAACTTCCTTACAAGACATTTGATCTATTTTCTAAAGTAAAGTTTTCATAACACGAAAAATGAAAAAATCATTTTTCTACATACAGTCGAGGAAAGTGTTTCATAACATCAGGGAGATGAAAATCATGGAGACCTATCAAGCGAGTACTATTTTTAGGAAAATGACTTTATATAAGCATTTAAACTTGCATCAAAATAAAATGTATCTAACAATATTTTACATTCACATTTAAGCACTCAATACAAAAACATTTATGAATAACAAATCCAATGTCATTAGTTCAAAAGATAGAATACTCAATGAGATTTAAAACTAAAATTTGTTCACTAACCTGAATTAAACTACCTTTCTCAAGACGTGCATCAATATTTTCACAGCTAAAATCAACTTTCTTTTTTGTTTGACGAGAGTGCTATGTATGTTTAAAGAAAGAAGACAGTGATTATAAATTTCAGAAATTAGAAAACTGAAGGTAATTAATAAGCAGGGCTTGCAATTGATTCTCATTTACCGATTAACTAAAATCCCGGTACATGAGATATTGAATCATTCAGACTTATGGACACAAACCAAACCTATCAACAAGATCCGATCAGTAATGTGTTAGACAAGCTTGAGATTGGTTTATAATGGCTTGGTGAAGTTTAGAAATAAAAAACAAATACAGTAGTAGTGTAGAAAACCAAGTAAAGTAAAAAGGCGGAATTTAAAACGTCAACACTGCCACCAACGTAGTGGAAGAACGTAAACAATTACATGAAACAACATTTACATGTGAACGCAGATAGAGGGGGTTGTATACCGAGTTCAGGAGTTGATTCATGGATACGAATGGTATTTCGGACCATGGTGAGGAAGATGAAAACACTAATATAATAAATTAATCTTGTTTGAGGACAGTGAATATCAAGCAAGTTAGAAAAATTTGTTTGTTTCGATTTATTTTTCCTAATTGGGATTTTATAAATTAGTTCCAAAGTTTAAAAAAGCTGGCAGTATATTCTTAATTCATACTGGATCTTATCGTAAAAAGCATACCCTGTGTGGATTCATGATGTACATCTTCCATGGCAATTTTGAACTAATTGAAATTTATGTCTGTAATAATGATACATCGAAATTTTAGGGTTCATAGTAAAATCTACCGATTGAAGTTGTAAACCTTGACATGAAATTAACCTTAGTAACACCAATTATGTAGCTTAGCAAAGAAATACTATGAATTAATTTCTAGGGAATGTTGATATACTTTCCAAATTATTGTCCTATTATTGTGGAATTACCGATAAACCATTGGACATTTCTTATTTAACGGCAAAAAATGTATGCCTTTTTCCATATGTTCAAAGACTAAATAGAGGAGGATTTTCAAATTAGCGATACAATAAATAACAAAGCCAGAAGCAGTTTTAAAGTGATGAAGCTATAATTAAATGAATATGAGCATTTCAGAAAGGCAGAAATTTTAACACAGAAAGAGGAACAAATTTCTCTTGAAAGCAGTAGAGTCATCTAGTTTGGCTGAAAACGCCTGTTTATCATGTCAAAATACTAATATATGATATGCTCCTTCTGTAATTCTATTTAGATAATAACATTAATTAAGGTTCCCTTATAGAAAATACCATAACAAAAATTAGGAAAGTGCAAATTTCATTATATATGTACCATTATTTAACTCTTGAATTTTGCACAACGCTACTAAAATATACAAACAGATGATGATCATTATTACAATATGAAGTATATATCATATCCGGACGAAGAATAAGTGAATAGTAACTGCTAGAATCTATTTATAGACTAATTATATATATTCTTATTGTATAATTACTAAGTAACTATATTATATGTACATACATATTCTTTTCATTATAAGCTTCCATTTGACCTATTAACTACTATTATACGATTTACCATTCTCAACTTGTTCCCAATTTATTAGATACAGTATTTCACACTTAGCCATTTTTGGCCTGATCTTGTATAATTTTTATTTTATATTTTATAGTATGATGAAGTCTGATTTACTTGTATACATAGATACATATATACAAGATTCATATAGAATAGGCTGATATTGGTGTTTTACAGTGAATCGGCTGGGTTAGGTGAGAAGCTACTGTCTCGGAGGTTCAATAAGAACTCAGAGTGACTCTAGGCTGTTAGGATTGGTTTATGAGTTATTGGTCCGGTAATCAATTGGTGCTCCAATCGACGACAAGTATCCATAGAATCTGCCATAAACAATTGGAAAGTTCGCAAAAATATTTAACAATTTTCGAAAGAAAACGATCTATTATCCACTACTAACATAGACGCTAATATATTTCTGTTGTTATATACCACTAATGAAGTAAACCGTTTAGGTCAGGTGGTCAATCATAATCAATATAATACCTGGTATAAATATGTACCAGCCCATTACCATACTACTCTACAATCGCAAAATAAAATTGACAAGATAAAACTGCATGAGTTAAAATAATCAGTAGTAGTAGTACCGGTGGTGTTGAGCACAATCTAAGCCTTATATAAAATAATTCGGAAAGAGATGAATTCTATAAATGAAAAGTACAAAACAATGTTGAAGCTCAACATTGGAAGGGACAGACACAGACACTGTAACTGAATATGAATTATGTCACGCGACTTATCCAACCACCGATGCCCCCAGTATAACTAGATAGTCTGCATTTATAAAAACGACTGTCCAATACACAACGATTGAGTGGAGTGATGCTATGACTTTTGTGAGTCATCTATAATTCATTTTCAGCCTAATTCAACTCTAACCAACGTTGTGAGTCGAGGTAAACTGGTTGCTGAGCATACGCAACACGTCCCAGTCACCTCCATTGAAGATTAACAGCTACATCAACAGATTTATCACGTACGCCTACTATACTGAATTAAACCTCGGTATTTCTCGTTTGATGGTTTCAACGTAATTACACAATTTTTCTCTCATATATTACTACCATTGAAGTAACTACTATGAATTTCGTGTTCATTTTGTCGTGCTAATGAAGTATGGCAACTTGGACCGATGCACATATGTGCCTGGTCCTACACTGTAGTTGACTGACTGACTGACATAAGAAGTGAGCAAAGCTCCGATGAGAACTATGATAAAAAAAACAGTAGTTAACATGTCTTCTACCTTGATAGATGGCGCTTTCAGATAATAAGTAACGAACCAAAAGAACTATTGTATTTGCAAGCTATTTGAGAAGCCAAATTACATAACAAATAAATTAACAATATCAAATAATGAAATGAGATTATTCGGACAACTAAAAAAGCTGACCTGACTATTCGAATCACCAAGAGGTACGGATGAACTAGACAATGAACTGAAAAATCTCCGATAACCAATAATAGGTGAAGTCCTTCTGACTTTATTATTGATGTTATGGAAGGGCCGGTAAGAAAATCCACTAGGTTTTATACAGCGGTATCGCAAAGGATTTTGAACGCCCAGCCACATCGCGTTAAGAAAGACCAAGTGAGGACAATATTACAGAATCATTATCGTAAAATTGTATCTAAAATAATTGATCCATATTGTTAGTTAGATAGTGTACCGAATAGTGTAAAATGACAACTATGGAAAGAAAATAAACATTTATAGGTCCATTCATTGAATTTTTGAGCTTAATTCGAACTATGAACCGATCCAAGTTAGAATAATATATAAAACCTGGAAGCATTGTACAGGTGTCTCAGCGTAGTATGGAATTCCTCGGCAGTGTGCGACCACTGCAGACCACACTGGACCAACTACAGACGAAACGCGCGACATGGACACCATCGCTAGTCACATTCTATCTATTCAATATAACAGATATTATTAACTTGTTCTCACGTATGTCTATAAACTATTAAGGTACGAAAGCTGAGAATGACATCAATGTAAGAGTATAACTAAACTTAGAAAAATTTACTACAAGAATATGCATATTTATAGTATTTACTAGCTACAGCATAGAATAAATGTGCAATATAATTCAAATATAACAGTTTGATTTGACTTCAAGACGTGGAACACTTCGAATACTCTGGGAGTTTGTTACATCAATTTGGTCTTCAAATCACCAAATAATTATAATAACTTAAATCATAATTAACATTTAGCCCCTAGAAAAGGTCTGTGGTAATGAATACTTGTTTCTCGAAACCTTCATTTTTGATTGGTTAAAATCACAGTTACCACCAATATCAGCTAATACAATCAATTCAAATATTGGTGGCACAATGTTAACTTAAAAACCCTAATGGTAAGGCGAAATATTACTCAGGTCGATGGTTCAGTACAATCACCCACTCAATACTCATTCATGTAAAATCGGTTTACGTAACTCACTATTTCTTTCAACGCAAAGACGATGTGTTTTCAAAACAAGTATTTCTGAGTTATCTCATAAACTTTATTCTATATCAATTAAATTATTTCCAAACGTTTAGGTGTCTATGGCATCAATTTAAAGCCGACTTTTGCTGTTACCAAAAGCATGAGTTCAGAGTATATCATTACCTAAACACAACTTAAGAGTACAAACATTCTTATGCATTAGCATCACGTCAGTAATTTTACATTCAAAGTTTTATGACCACAAACTGCGAAGCAGTTTCCTGACATTAATTTAATTTAAGCAGTTCTACAGACTGAATAGGTTAATATCTGATATATCAAAATCCAATTATTTCGATAGATGTGAATAATAATGCAATAACCTTACATAAATATGATGGGCAATTACCGCTACAACAGTTAGTGTAGCTAAGAGATAACAAGAGTATGGCTGAAGAAACTCATACCCTTTGGAGTTAAGCTAGTCAAAGACATATATCAAAGCTGCAAACTAAAAAATTACAATGGTGTTCAAGAAGCACACAACTTGTACTACCTTATTTTAAAGTATCATAAGATAAGAACAGTTACTTGATTAAAAAATATTTTCATAACATTCGAAAATACGAAAAATGTATTATATCAACCCATTCAATACAATCATAAATAAAAAAGATATCGACATGTCAAATAATATGTTACATAAAAAGTAATTGAATCTTGAAAAAAGTATATATTTCATAAAGTGAGCATTAACACTGATACTATCAAGTCATTCTGAGGAGTATAAAGTACATCGAAAATGAAAGCGAAAGAATAGGAATATAAATTTATAATTTGAATGACAAAAGTTGTTGTTTTTGCTCAGTCCAAACGTCGGACAAAATTAACATTGTCAAAAAACAACCATGTTTAATATATTCAGAACAACCAGATGACTATTATAACTGAATAGCCAATGTGAATAAAAAATTATTACAAGTCATAAGCAACATTTTATTCAATAATCAGAATTTTCAGAACACCCATAATGAACAAAAGTGATCACCAATGTAGTGTTAAAAAACTTATGCAGTGCTATATAATACAAGATATTTCTAAAGTACAAATTACAGATTAGCTACGTCGAGTTTCGCTTTTACGCGCGTATATAAGACATTTTAATATTTATTTAAACTCATAAACATCGGTACAAGGATGCACCAAATAGATATGAGCCTCAGAAATCACTTGATTTCTGTGAGAACTGGGATGCTGTCCGGGCTCCCAAACTGGAGCAAATGGTTTTCTTAGGAGACCACTCTTCGAGCCATTGACCTAAAGGTCTAAGGCAGTGGAGCAACGTTAGGAGATGCAGTTCCATAGTAGCCGGTGACCAACAATAGGTTCATATGCCATTTACGCCCACAGGATTCTGGAGCATATATGAACTATTGATTTAGAATCAGGATTTTTCCCAACTCCGCTAGATGGGTCCTCCGCATCCACCAACCCGGTTAAAGCGCCGAAAATTAAATTTTCGTCCTCTCGACTTCGTAAACAATATCCCTGTCGCGAGAAGACAATGAGTAGGACTTCCCTGGCAGTGGCTGTACACGCATGGTCATGTGAGAGCGTTTTGAGAGGGAGAGTTGGTTCTTACCACTTTCGACCGTACCACGGCATGTGGCGTTTTTAGTTTTGATGACAATTCTAACGAATCATATGCACTATCATTACATCAACAAATTTAGTAACCCTTTACCGGATTCCAATAAAATCGGATGAATGATTACTATCGAAATATAAATCCGGAATACCCTCGTGTATAATTTTATCGACTTAAATCACGTTGGTGAATAATAGGACTAAACAAGTCAAATACGAGAATGGATTTCGAATATGTGTATTTTATACAATCGTTGATCCAGACAGACAATCAGAAAAACGAAGCGGAGAAAGAGAAACGCAACGTGAGGACACGCAGTGGATAAGGCGAGCGAGTCAACTCGTTTTAATAAAGCGTGACTCGATATTTATAGTCAAACAAAAATAGTTTAGACACATAATGAGTAGGGTAAGTAATCAACACACATACACTCAAATAAAAACAAAGTTAATAAGCGAATAAGTAACAAGGTAAGAATGTGACTTGAGAAGAATGAGCAGATTTGTCTGTCCAGAGGTTAGAATAACTTACATGGGCTTGACATAGTACCAACCCCTACGCAACCTCTGATGACAGCTAATATTATTCAATAAGATTTAAAAAGGGGAAGCCTCAGTATTAAGCACAGAATACCTTATTGATTTATTCAAACGAGGCATAGGTAAAGGAAATCATGATATATAAAATTATCAGAGATTTATAATAACAAATTATAGTTGGTTCATCAAAAAGTAACCCGGTTGTGAAAACATACACAGTTTACACTTAAATATCAGTGATAGTCAACATCGAACCTGAAATGAATACGCATTGACACATGTGGAGACAAGATTTAGCCATATAAGTATTGATTTTAAGCATGTTTTGGTTTTACAGCTAGACACAAACTTTAAATTCAGAAAGCATCTACCTAAACACCTTATATAAACTGATCACAGTTTACTACCAAACTGCTCAAGCCAGTACAAACGTCAGTAATAAACTATGAATCACACGTATTTCTCAAGTTCTAGTAACGCCACTTTGGCTGTTTAGCTGAAGTATTTATAATAGTGCGCACTACTGGTTGAAAGTCCTTAAAATAATCAGCTGCAGAGAGACATATGAAGCATGGGATAATAGCTTTGATAGTCCCACTGCTACATGTATGGCCATTTTTACAAACCCACTGCACTCAGTTTGAAATCACCTAGCGATTATTCACTACAGTATTTTATCAACCAGCTAACCTGTCATATTTATACTTATTTACTTCTTAATAGAAGAACATTCAAGAATTCAAATTTACAAAGTCGATGAGGGACCTAACTTATAAACCACAAAATATATTTAACAATAATAATATACTAATAGTATAACCGTAACATCACAGCTTAGTAGTAAACAAAAGGATGTCTATAAACAAAAACAAACATTATTTTCACAAATGTAGAAAGGTAGCATTTAGTTATATATATATTACAACATTGTACAATTTGTCCAATTCTTCATTAATGAAAGTTATTTAGTTAATTAAACAACGTGACATTCTTTACATGTTGACCGTAGTAGTGTAACCTGTTAATAGGGTAGAAAGAAAGTTTAAAAAATAACAAAATTCAGAACTGTTTATTTAAAAGTTTTATAGTGAATATTCTGACTTTAAATCCACACAGAAACTAAGCTATTCGAATACAACTTTAACAACTTTTAAATGTTTATGCATGCTAAGCAAGTAATCGAATATGATCATTAGTGTACAAGATCGAAATAATGTTTAATTTCTTTAAATACGATTAACTGAGAAATTTATTTTTGGAATGGTCTATGGGTTTTGTAAGAGTTCGCCTGTACACATTGACAATAGCATACGAATTACTTCCTAACTACTAGCAACACTATGCACGTAGCGGCAACTAGGTGTTTAAAGTACCGGTATTTAAACAATCAAACGGCTAAGTTAGAACATGTTTAACTCATTTGAGTTTGGTAAACAGGACAGAATTACAGTCAGTCAGTAATCTGCAATGTAGGACCAGGAACATATATGCATCGGTCCAAGCTGCCTTACATCATTAGCACAACTAGATGAACACTAAATTCATAGAAAGTCACATCGATGGTAGTAAAAAATTTTCATATAAGGATATGATGCAGGGAACTCCGCTTGTAGCACTTCTAGAGTTACTGACGGTCCCAAAACCTGGTAAAGGAGAATAGTTGGACATGGACATGGGCAACCGTATCCCGTAGGGAAAAATCTTGCTAAGACAAAGCTAACCAGGTTAAGCAAACTAGACCATTTAAACTCTGACCGGGGAGTTTGACGAAGAATTATGACGCCTCAGGATGAAAGCCAAGACTCTTCGGAACTCACGAGGTTGATGCCACCTAACAACCAGAGTAACTATTACTATAGGTACACAGAATGGCCGGACAATGTAAGAGACCGTGAGGGCCAACCAAATAGCAACGGAAATGAGGAGATACAACTTGGCAGTACTCAGAATCAGCGAAACCCATTGGATCCAAGCTGAACAACAAAGGGTAGGTACGGAAGAAATGCTGCTGTACTCAGATCACGAAGAGGAAAATGCTCCACAAACTCAGGCAGTTGCTCTGATGCTATCTAAAGGAGCACAAAATTCACTTAGAAGATGGGAATCTCACGGATCCAGAATAATCAAAGCATCCTTCAAAACAAAGGAGGGAGTCACGATGAAAGTTATCCAACGGTATGAACCCACCAATAATAGCAACGACGACATTAAAGACCAATTCTATGAAAGGCTGCAATCAATCACAGAGAATTGCTTAAGAAAGGATCTCACCATCCTGATGGGAGATCTAAGTGCCAAAGTCGGGATGGATAACACCGGATATGAAGATAACATGGGACGACATGGACTTGGAGAAACAAAAATGGAGAGATTTGCAAACTTATGTGCATTCAACATATTGGTTATAGGCGGCACAATATCCCCACACAAAGCTACATGGATCTCACCGGATCACACCACAGAGAACCGGATCGATCATATTTGCATCAATAAAAAATTCAGAAGGACAATGGAAGACATGCGAACCAGGAGAGGAACTTATATATATTCAGATCACCAGCTGGTTGTGGCAAAGATGAAACTGAAGCTAAAGAAACACTGGACAGCTGGGTAGACAGCGTTACAAAGTTTCAATACAGCCTTCCTTCGAGATACTAACAAAATCAACCAATTCAAGATAACTCACAACAAAAGGTCCCAAGCCTTACAGGATCTACTGAAAGAAGACGAAACTGTTATGGAGGACAACTGGAAAGGAGTCAAAGAAGCATTAACTTTAACATGCCAGGAGGTTCTGGGTCGCAACAAGCATCATTATAGGGAATGGATCTCTATGGAAACCCTGGACAAGATTCAAGAAATCAAGTACAAGAAGACAGCAATTATTAACAACAGCCGAACATGAACAGAGAAAGTCAAAGCACAAACTGAATTCACAGAAGCAAATAAACAAGTGAAGAGGCGCATTACAGTTGACAAGCAGTGGAAAACTCTGCAAGAGAAGGAAATATGAGACAGCTATATGACACAACGAAGAAACTATAAGGGAAATATACTAAACCAGGAAAACCAGTCAAGGACAAAGAAGGCAAGACAATCACGGAGATTCAATAACAGAGGAATGGATGGATAGAATGCTTCGAGGAACTCTTGTATAGACCAGCTCCACTGAACCCAGCAGACAACGAAGCAGCACCTCCAATAGATGTCACTCCACCAACGATCAAGGAAATAAGGATCTTATGATGCATCGGCGAAAATTAGTCACTATTATTTAAATTTCATTCTCAATAATTTAATATAATTTCGGCATAATCTTAGTCTTAATTACGTTCTTTTCTAAAATCAGACTTTTTTGTTTAAGTTTCAATTTTGTTTGATGGAAATAGGAAGATATTTTTATCGTTCACAAAGATTCATTGTAAACGTCCTGAAAACGTTATCCTTGTCTCTGTTTGTCATGAAATAAAGCTGAGATTCACACGCATTCTCTGATTATGTGAAACTATAGAGAAATCACACTACTGTCGATACAAAGAAACGTTTTCAAAAGTGTTGCCGAACCGGATGAAAGACTCAGTAGACGTCCAACTTCGGGATCAACAAGCTGGATTCCGTAAGGATCGGTCATACACAGACCAAATCGCCACACTACGCACCATCGCTGAACAATTAGTTGAGTGGAACTCGTCACAATACATCAACTTCATTGACTATGAGAAGGCGTTTCAGTGTGTATAGGACGACCTTATGGGAACTTCTTCGACACTATGGTGTACCTGAGAAGATTGTCAATATTATCCAGAACTCATACGACAGACTACAGTGCATAGTCGTGTATGGAGGAGAGCTGACAGCCACATTCCAAGTAAGGACTGCAATCAGACAAGGCTGCTTAATCTCCACCTTTCTCTTTCTTCTGGTGGTTGACTGAATTATGAAGACCTCCACATCTAAGGGGAAGCACGGAATACAATGGACATGTTGCATGCAACTAGACTGCACAGATGACATAGTTCTTCTATCCCATACACACCAATAAATGCAGGTTACGACAAACAGTGTAGTAGCAGTTTCTGCATCAGTATCCCCCAACATACACAAGAGAAAAAGCAACATCCTCAAACACAATACGGAGAATACCAGCCCGATCACACTTCACAGAAAAACTCTGGAAGAGGTGGAAAGTTTCACTTATTTGGGAAGCATCATCGATGAACAAAGGGGATCTGATGCAGACGTAAAGGCGAGGATTGGGAAAGGGCCGCATTTCTACAGTTGAAAAAAATATGGAACTCAAATCAACTGTCATTCAACATCAAAGTCAGAATCTCCAATACGAACATCAAGACAGTTCTACTATATGGAATTGGAACTTCGAGGGTACAAGTATTTAGAAACAGTTGTCTGCGTAAAATAATCAATGTCCGTTGGCAGGATGCTGTCAGCAACAGCCTACTATGGGAGAGAACAAACCATCTTCCAGTTGAAGAGGAAACTAAGACGTTGAAAGTGTATAGGACATATATTATGGAAATTATCAAACTGCACTATGAGACAAGCCCTAACTCGGAATCCTGAAGGAAAACAGAAAAGAAGATCGAAGAACATATTACGTCGGGAAATGGAAGCAGACATAAAAAGGATGAATAGTAAATGGAAACAACTGGAAAGGATTGCCCAGGAAATGGCTGGGTGGAGCGTACTCCTAGGCAGCCTATGGTCCTCCACGAGGGGTAACAGGCGTACGTAAGTAAATATGATAGAAGGGAGATGAATTGGTTTGTAGAAAGTAGTCTTAATCTCACGGTTTAAGGGAAGACACAGAGGGTATTCACCTATGCTTTGTGATCAATTCTGAGCCATGTAACCAAGTCTTCAACTATTGGTTACGATAGTCATGTGGACCCCAACCAAGTAGTCTACATCTACCAACATGAATCAGACCAGAAGTTGGTGACTTTATGGACTGATATCACGTTTTAGCTTGGTCGTCCCTAAATTTCTTCCAGCCGTCTACAACACAAGTCAGCACTGCGCGACGTGGTAGTCGGGAGCTGGGTATACGTAATATGTGACCCAACCATCTCAGTCCATAAAGATTCACAACCTCATCGACTGATTTACCACAATACCGTGTGTCTAACCTTACTATTATTTACCCAGTGATCCCAGTAAATATGAGCAATATTTCTAAGACATCCGTGATCGAATACTAGTACCTTACGAGTATCCTCTACTATTAATTTTTCTCAGTTATGAATTAAAACAGAACGAACGGCTGCAAAGTATACTCGTCCCTTAAACGATAGACGAATATCTCGCTTTTGCCATAGGTGACGTAAGTTGGCGAAAGCCAAACGAGCTTTTTGAATCCGTGCAGTATTACAAGCCATAACATATAGTATGTAAATTTGTGAATGGTTACTGAGGTATTTTAATTATATTGTTAACTATACATAAAATCTGGTACAAGTGGATATCAAAAATAGAACTTGCTATACAAACAAACGGTCAATGATACAATAAAGCTTTCGGACCGAAGTAGATGAACAGGGATTCGAACCTATGACTTAGTGGCTGAAAGTCGAACGATTCAACCACTGAGTAAACGCATCATAGTAACTGAGCTACATTGAATCAACTAAGTTACATACAAAGGATTTCATATAGGTTAAAATGTCATAAGTGAATCACATTTTCAAATTAATGGAACATTACAAAAATACAGGCCGCGTGAAACGTAGCATTGATCGGATGTTGTAAAATACAGAAAACTCACATGCCGTGTTATTTTACTGGTGTTTACTAATTTCTTATAAGAGATACAAATGAAGACAAAGAAAGGGTATGAGTTACAAAAGAGTAACACTATACTACACCATTAACAACAGCATCCTTCCCTTACTAAATCACACTTATTTTATATTTTAAGAACAGATGAATATCCGTCCACAAGGCATTTTTATGTGCATTTAAATACAAATTATTAAACAATAATTGGACATACAAGTAATTTTGGCAATAAGGTATTTTGACGACCACACTGACTGGCATCGTCTATTGAACTGCAAGAATCAACTGAAACGCGACACCGGACAACATCAAAAACTTTAATTTCCATATAAAAGCAACCACAACTTGATAATGTAGTTTTCGAACCAACAGTAATATTTTGAATACAATCTGCAGAATCCGAACCCTTTATATTGAAATTTTCTAATAAATCACTATTCCACAGAAGACAGAGTTTTCCACTCTCCACGACTTTTCCCATACCGGTTTTGGGAGGAACAAATTCATAACTTTTCAAATTTAGATTCTAATATTAAAGAAATAAAAGTGTATTGAAATGACAATCAGACAACAGTAACACTCACTAACAAATGTGAGTTAGAACAGAAAATAGGTATGGAGCAAACACACTACTCATCAAAAATCAAGTACTATGGTGCCCCGGTTCCGGTAAGAAGAGAAAAGAAATTAACAAAACAGATAAAGTACTAAACTAAGATAGAATTGTACTGGTAAACAAGGGACAAATAGTATTGATTTTTTAACAATGACCTACAATGGTTTCATTACTTCTATCATTTTTAAAGTACAACACTTAACATTTTCAAATATCAAATGACTTTATGTGATGTATTTAAGCCTTCGAATCTGTGAATTTTCATACCACTTATACTTATACATACTACATTCAGGTAGTATTCATCACAAATCAATGGTAGTTTTAGTATTATTGTAAACCAGGGAGCACTTGACAGACTTTTCGAAGTAATGTGATACTTTTCAGTAGTACGGACTAGGTTACGAGAACTAAAACGAAAACGAAACATCTATTTACAAAAACTGATGACCTAAGATCTGAAAGAATAATGGCACGCTAATTCACTTCAAGCGGTTTAGTATAATCTAATTGGAGATATTTTATTGTCGTTCTGGATGTCACCAGGACCTACCTTAAAAGAAATGAACTTTAAACAACTTATTCCAAAAGTCCTTAATTAATATGTGCTGATGATATGGTTTGTGATAAGTTGTTTTCATACGTTTCGTCTTCACTTGATTTAGGCGTTGGTAGTCATTTTTTAGGATAACGATGACAATGTGAGCTCAAGTATTAAACAATCCAAGTCAGAACATAGCACTACAGAAAGCATCCAGTTGAGCCGAAAAACATCCATCAGAAAAATTTGTCGTACAAATCAAGGATCAATCGAAAAAATATAACAAACAAAAACAATAACAACAGAGCGGTCGAAAAATGAGACTAGCAAACTAACCTGTAAATAAACTCTTTTAGTGAGACCACAAGAAAGGATAAGAACGTCAAATGAACGATCGAGCACAGATGTTACAGCGCATACTTCGTTAAATGGACCTGTTTCCTAATTTTTAGGAAGATATAAGAAATATTACGCATCACAACTTAATCCATTTATATCAATTGAAATAATTCTTGATAATCAATGAGATTCCTTTTGGGAAAAGAAAACTATCTATGCATAACTATGTGCTATATTTTTAAAACAGATATATATATATATTCTTAGAAAAACCAATTACCTTGACAAATAGAACAAAGAATAATTCAGCACTTTCTTCCCCAGCAAGTCGAGCAGACAATTTTTTAGAATTGCAAACCTCAGCTTGTTGTTGCAATTCGACTGGCGTCATTTCTTTTGGAAAGGCTGTACTTAAATACCAATCTGCTTTTTCAGCTATCGTTGAGAAGTGGGTGAAATAAAGAAAAGGCATTATACCCTATCATATTATGTTATAGCTGGCAAGAGTAGTAATAAGCAAATACATAAAAATATTACAGGTAACACCACATAAATTTAGATCAATACACTTGTAGAAAAAAAACTACACCAAATTGTGGATTACTTGGAATCTTCACAATTTTTCAGTCAGTTATTTTAAATAATAGTTCTAATAATCACAGGCTGAATCTACTCAGCAACTTGAACACAAGAGAAAAGGCGCGAAGTGAGCAAAAACCGCTTTAATCCAAGGTTAATTTATGGACAACAGATCCAGCGTTTTCTGGACTCTATGGACATCTTCGAGGAATACTTCCCAGAAGCTCTAACAACCGATTGCATACAAAGTAGAAATCTTTTACGATATTGACAGCAAAGTTTATGTAAATCTAATTAGGACTTGTATAGGCATATTTTCTTCGCGTTCAATATCGAATTAGTCTAAATCAATCCTAAAATTTACTTTATAAAAATGCAGGAAAAATTACAACTGAAGACAAGATTAGATGTCATGAACGAAGAACGTTGAATACATTCTAGAAATTTAACCCTTTATGGTAGATCAGGAGTGAAGAAGGTGAATTAACTTGGCTAAGTAAATAAACCATATATGTGAGGGAAAACTATATCAACACTTTCCATAAATCTAAATAAATCTTCAACAGACAAATTGACTACTCAGCTCTTTACTTAAATTTTGCGTAACGTACTCAGATATTCAGCAGTTTAAAGTAGAAATTGAATGATATGAAATGCAAAGAAACATCTAATGGAACATTGAAACAATTTAAACTAGATAGTTATAACCAGAGGTGATATACAGTAAAATAAAATTACTAACGATCACTTTCTTCTTTCGCCAAAGTAGCTGACAATTGCCGGTGAACAATAACATCTGCGTAACGACGAATAGGAGAAGTGAAATGTGTGTACAATTGCATATTTAAAGCATAGTGTGAGGGCGATAACTCGGATGGTAGTAGACCTAAACAGAAGTAGACAGCCAAATTCATTGTTTTAGTCAATAAAGCAACTGTAACAAGAAGTCGTGCTTCATGTTCAAGAGTTTTGAGTAGTAACTTCTCCTTTTGAACAACTGAGTTGAGGTCCACTCTTTGCATTTCTTCTATTAAATCGCCATCATGAATCAAAACATTGGACATAAAATCATCACACAATTTGACAAGGGCATCTGAGTAGTGATATCCAACTTCGACATTACAACCTGCTTCACGGCAAATTGAATCCTGAATAAATAAACACACAAATATGGAGTAAAGATTTGCATAAAAATGTACCTGAATTTTCTTATTTACTTATCTGAATAGGTAATGGGGTTACACTAATTTTGGGTAATTTTAAGCTTTAAAACTTTTAGTATCTAGTACTGACATTAAGACGACATTATATACTAACAATAAGCGAATTTTGTAAGTGATATGGTACTGTTGGGGATGTTAAATACCTAAATACAATTAAGTAGGAAGAAATTAAGTGAAACACTACGTACTGATGTTTAAATATGATTTCCATTTAATTGCTATTCGTAACAATTTAGAGTAATTTTTGCCCATTATAACATTAATTTGTATTAATTAGTTTAATGTAATTTGTTGCTCACATAACTGTTGTTCAGCATAATATTCAATCGTATTAATGATTTACGACAATTGTTCAGTTAGATCATTTCTTTACCTTATAAGCACTAACTGTATATAATGGGTTATACTTGAGTTTGAACTAATCTTATTGCGTGCATATGAATAAGGTTCCTAAATTAAAGTTTCCTCCCTCTTGCCAGAAAACAGAGAAGTAGAGGATAGTTACTGAAATTACTTACGCTTGGTACCCCTCGTTAAGGAATATAGATCGTCGACGAGAATAGGTAGAGGAAAGAGGTATCATTTATTGCTGTTGAAATTAGAGTTGCAAACTATTAGCAGTAAATGAAACTAGCAGTGCTTTTCAAAAATTGAAAGCTCTACAGTTTAATTAAACAAACCAGAATTGAATCGCGACTAAATGTATTTTCCAAAGATTTCTCAAATCCTAAGAGTGTGGTTTCTTGACAAAATTATACGTAGATTTTTATTTGAAAACAAGTGACAGCTCTTTCAACGTGATACATTCAGGACAATTTCTATGGTATTAAATGCAATTTTATTCAGTATTTTTCAACTAAGTTGAACACCTTTGTGTTTTGCACTGAAAATTTAACGATATTCATGAAAGAAATCAACTATACTTTCACTTTAAATGCTGAATGACACAAACAAATATATTGCAAATATACGTTTTTTTATCAGCAGTAATGAAAGGTCGTTTTGGCGTAAAATCTGTAAGCTAATATCTAGGTAATCAACATTCAATAATTAAACTAAACGTTAAACCTGATTTCTTGCTGCACACTCTTATATTGTATAACTGAAGGACTACTGTCCCCAAGTTCGGACACGATTGTCACGTTACTTAGATTTTCAACATTCATTTGAGTTTGCCAGTAGATGAATTAATTCTACTAGTGTGAAAAGCTTCAGTGATCATTTACTGATACTAAGGACCTAGTCCCTTAAAACGGTAAACTAGGGAGAAATTAGCAACAAACGTATAGAGTATAGTAGTCTAATTTTGAAATAATATAAAATGCTTAATCAATACATACCTGTATTGAACCGGCAGAATCAATATTAATATTTATCCCAGCAACATTTAGACTAGACGAAACTTCGGTCAGCTGTTTTACAGACGGTGGTGGATGTCGTCTCAAAAAAGCTGAGTCGGGTAAGTATTTAGCTAAGCGTTCAGCAATTGATTTGTTTGCTGCTAACATCCATTCTTCAATAAGCCAATTACTCTGCTTCGAAATGTAAGGGGCTATACCCAATGGTAGTCCATTTTCGTTATTAAGAGAAAAGGTAGACTTTACTTGATCTAAGCGAAGCGCTCCAGAGTGAAAACGACTTTTACGCATTTTAGTAGCCAGCTAAAGCATGAGAAATAAATTATAATTGTTATGAAATTGACCAGCATATAAGAGTCAGTCAATAGTTTCCATTAGAAAATGACACTGCTCAATCATAAAATTGTAAAAATTTGACGAGGTGACATGCTCTTAGTGTACATCACATGTTTAACAGACTGATTTGCATCGGAAAAAACAAATGGTATAAACAAAGAATGGTGATGACCCATTCAATGTTTTCTAAATATAATCAATCTAACTGATATCATGACGAATAAGGAAGTACAGCAAAGAAGAATGTTTAGAGAAATATAATATAATAGAAACACTTACATCGTTTAACTTCAAGACATTTTTACAAATATCCATTACGGTATATGGTTGATCTACCTTGACAAATTCATTGGACGACCAGTCCCTATCAGGGTGATCAATAAATTCCTGAAATGGTGTGGAATGACATTAATATTGAGATGACAAATTTTATATGATAGGAAACGATCGAAACACATTTAAACATAACGTATGCAGTGTATTTTTCGGAATTTCATCTTCTTAAAATAGAGGACTACAGTTAACTAGGTCTAGAAAACTTAAATCTGGCACTTCAAAAGTTCATAAGATATAAAAACTACCGAATGCAACAAACACTAATATTCGAATCAAAGATAATTGATGTAATTCAATAATTAAGCACATGTTCACTTACTAAACTGAGCTACGTCATCATGGTTATTAATACTATCTGGTTTTCCACATCAGAATAGACAGATGAAGCAATGTTCGAATTGGTAGCTCAATGGTTAAAATGTAAAATGGTTGAATATAATAATACAATAATACAATAACAATACAATAATAATAATAATACAACCTAATCAAATATACCATTTAACAGACTGACCTGAGCATCTTCATAACTGAGTTTACAACAGGAACGAATAAATGTACGACCAAACCATGTTGTTAAAATCTATATTACGATAGAAGAAATTTTTGATAAATAAATTTCACCTGGCACACAGAACAGAAATTTACAAGGTCAAGAAACAAAATAAATAACTTACATTAAGGTTTAATATGAATTATTATAGCAAGAAACTGAGAATCATAAGGTAGTTAATATTTTTGTATAAACAAAACCATCATTACTCAAAATGTGATGCATGGAATTCATGTCAAAAAATATATATAACAATAATCCAAATGAGTTTATCCCCTATATATTCATTAACATGCCACTTTTAATGAATCACGTTTTTAAGTTGGATGACTTCGTTCGGACAGTTTGTAAATCGGATAAACAATTTTCATTCATGATTTTAAAAATATCACGTTTATATCCGGTTTGATCTGCTGTATTTGACTGTTGAAACTTTAGGTAACATGAAACAACGCATCTGACTTTTTATGGATTCATCCTCTACTAGGAGACACACTTGTTGATTTAAAATACGCGAAAGATATAGTTCTGTTTAGTGAAGACGCTAACAAAACGTAGTCTTCTGACCACCTTAAACAACCATGCAAAAATGTTTGGGATGCGGTTCTCCTCCTACAAATGTAAAATGTTACTTCAGGATTGGCTTGCGCCATCGCCTGAATTAACGACAGGGAGTGAAGTAGTTGAATCCATAGACCACTTCACCTGCCTTTGGAGCTTCATTAATCCTGATGGTCTGGTATCTGACGTAATCTCGACACGGATTTAGAAGGCTCTATTGGCTTTTGTCAGCCTGCGTCACTCGTGACGTATGCGAGATATCCGTCCTCTAACCAAAGGGAAAGCTTACTGTGCAGCAGTTCGCTTTATGGATGTGAAACATGACCATTAAGAGTAGAGGATACTTGTAGGTTATTGATATTCGATCAAAGGTGTTTACGAAGTATCGCTCATGTATTTTGAGACCACGGAGCAAGAAATACCCGAGTTAGAAATAGAGCACCAGGTAAAAAAAGGAAAATCGACTGATGAGGTAGTAAATCTTCATCAGCTGAGGTGGTTGAGACATGTGTTACGTCTGCCCAACCACCTCCTACGTCGATGGGCCAGGTGTCCTGGTGCAGAAGTAGGCTAGAAAATAACAAGGGGTAGTCAAATCAAAATATCGAATTAGTCCATGAAATTACTATTAATTGGACTTAGCTATGTGAAGATTCCCTGGTTGGGGTACATGTTATTGTCGTATCCAATGGTTAGGGACTTTGAATAACATAGCTCAAAATCATTAGCAATGAAGCAGGTGCACCCTTCCTTTGTCTTCACTCAAATTCTAAAATTCTAAATTCTTCATAACTTTTTTGTTTTTATTTCACTAGTTCTTTTCGAGTCGTATCTTCGATGTCTAATCTTTCCTATTACCACCGACACTATCACTACATCTACTATTCATACGTGCAAGTTCTACGTTGTGACTGACTGATGGACCAACGCCTCATCTTAGTAAGTTTTACTTAAAATTGGTCTGTATATCAATTTATTCTTTGTTTAAATAATAACAAGAATAGTAGACAAATGAGCTCATTAACATCTGTTCCATATCCGTTTTTGAACTATGTGAAAGATATGAGCTGAAGTAGACACTTTTGGTAGTTTTTTTCACATAGTACATGTGAATCTTTGCAATTATCAAATCCCGATTAACATATTGTCATGAAGACAAATTGTAAACAATGAATTTTAATCAGAAATTAATAACTAACTATTGTCATCGTCATAATTTACAAGTGTTGCCTTTATTTACAGCTTTTAGATAGTAGCTAGCTATAGAATTTAATTTCAGAGGGGTTAATTTAAGGATACCCATATTTCACATAGACTAATTGAAAGCAATCCTGAATGTCGATAACGGAAAAACACAGACCCTTACGAATAATAATATCATACTCGTTTAATAAGTTGGTAGTTTAATGAAAAAGAGGTGATGCTTAAAGCAATAAGTTTTGGGTTCGAATCTAATCCAGTCATAATCAACGTAAAGCTTGATATAAATGTGAGTTAGCCCAAGTTTTCATAAGATTAACAAAAAGAGAAAAAAAATCAACAAGATTAATATCAAAGGATTAGAAATAATGTATTGGTAATAGCCATGAGGACTAAACATTAAGAATTGGGTTCGAGAAGAAGGAATGGAAAGCTATATAGAAAGAAATACAAAATTTAGGATCTAGAAAAAGAGAGTAAACAGACCCGCCCCACTGTGATTTTTAGTGTGAACAATTCTGGGATCCTGGTGCATCCAGCTAACACACGTTTCAAATATGAAGAATCGCACATTCTAGATCTCAATACAAGGTATTACCCCAAAATATAATGAATTACATGTAACTACAGACAATATACAGTTATCCTCTCAAGGAGTGTGAATAGAAACAAAGACTGATCGAATCCAGTTCTTAATATCAACAACCAAAAAACATAAACTTTAGAAAGCAATAGCAAAAAATGACACATTTTAGTAGATAATATGCGGTAATAAGTGAAAACAAAATCTCACATTAGAATGGGTGATATAAAATATATTAGTATAACTACATCTATATTTAAGTGATGCACCAGTGATATGGTATAGCATGAATTTACATATTACAATTTCTTTACAGTAAAAAGGTTTGTTTTACTCACCTTGGCATCCTCAGTTACAGTGAATACCACAGAAAACGCTAACTTATCTTCTCCTGGATTAAGACTGCATTGTTCTTCACAAAGTAGACGTGGAAGCATAGGCACGCACAGTTGCACTAGATATATAGAAGTTGCTCTGGACGCCGCTTCCTTATCAACTGGACTGTCTGGTTTCACAAAATATGAAACATCAGCTATATGTACGCCAACCTGGGGAGAAAATAATATAGAAGAACAAATAATGTATTATTCTGTGTCACAAAACCCTGACACAAAATTTCCTCGTGACATTTCATATGCACTTCATTAATTTATAGTACGTACGGTAGTCCAAATGAACTCATTTCTTAAATACTACCCAGTAAAAACAGAACCTACAGAAATACTAATTGTTGATTACTGAGCGACACACAAATCAAGTAAACATATAATCTGGAAGATAAGCAATGTCAACAAGTCATGGCTTAGAGTAGTAATATATACAAGGGTTAACCACGTATGAGAACAATAGCTGTTAGATCCGAGCGAAGATTAAATCACGAGTAACTTCTGAGACATATTAATTGACTAATATTATCTATATATTCTTATGGTATAATTATTCAATAATTAGATTATGTATATGTATATTCCTCTTACTATAAGCTTCATTTTGACCTATAATTTATTATTGTACGATTTACTGTTCGTAAGCTATGTTCAGTTTATTGACTACTGCCTCCCACGTCCACAGCCACTTTCTGGCTTTATTGTGTAGAAATTTTATTTCCTATTTTATTGTGCGTTGCGGTCTGTTTGGTTGATATATAAACCCAGTATGTCTGAAATAAATGATTCGATTAGATTCGCATAGTGGGGGTTGGCATTGGTGTTCTGGACTCAAGTAGACAGGCTAGGTGGACATAGGACCAATAAGGATGCTAGGCTGCTCATACCGGTCGAACGTCATTGGTTTGGCACAGTGCTAAGATTGTATAAGTCGTATTTTGATTGGTGGGTAAACCAAGTGATAACTAGCCGGACATAAATTAATAACGACATCTCGGTAATTATCAAAAAACATGTTTTTCAGACACTACTCCAAACATCCAACATATTTAGTCTGAAGAGTTTGAGAATTAAACGCCTAGCAAAACGAAAATCACAACACAAATCAGAATTAACCAGACAAAGAACATCCATAATGATGCCTCAAGGATCACTTTTCATAAACATTGTTTCACGCTATGAACTAACGAATGATTGCACTTTTAAATGAAAACTACACGTCATGTTTCTTTAAGTATTAGCCAATGGCATGTCTTAGTGTGAAGATAACTTAACCTACATAAAGTTGAAACAAACAATAGTGCTAACTGAAAGTTTAGAGATTGAGCAGAGGGATCCACATAACTCGATTCCTTGTGGGGAAGCTGGAAAAATGAGACACTCTTGACGCAGAACAAAGAGGTAGTAACAGTTTACCATCTATCAGTTACTGTAATCAGTGTACTTTACATTCCATATAGCCAACTACGTTTAGCAAATGCCTTGGTGTTTTCCCACAAATAATTGGGAATGGTACTCCAGAAAATTAATTCAGTACTGGGTTGGTACGTGACTCAACACCATGAAACACTCCATTAAAGATTATCATCACAAATTCATGGGGTTAAATTAGAATTAACTAACATTCAGAAAATTACTCATTCCCAAAATTCATTTTTACCTGTCAATGGAATCATAAAACAGGACTCTTATTTACCTCGTAAAATGCGTTTCGATAACCGCTGCATTCTAATTTTTCTATTTCACTCGGTTCCAACTGTCTAATATGCAAAGCGTCATCAAGATCTCTAGCGGTACTGGGATCAATCGTAAAAACACAATATTTTCGAAAATCTTTACGGAAAATAAAATCCTTCTCACGAATAGCATTCACGTCATCAACAGACTTACGAACTGATTCAGTGACAATATCAGGAAACTGGAAAGCTGCTTCCACACCCCAAATAAATCCTGCGCCAACTAAAATCCTATCCGTTTCATCCTGAATCAGAGTGGAAGAGTCACAAGACAATTCTCGTAACAACTCCCTGACGAAAAAAGAAAATGAAAAATCAAAACCATAAAAATCCTTACACGAAATGAATTCGTCAAGGTAACTGAAGTATTTCTTATATAGCACAAATAAACAATGATATTCAAACCAGTATCAACAGCTCAACGATCATCAACAACATAGTAACGTAAACATGTTAACAATTGAGGTTACAGAATAAATGTAAATGATGAGTTATTTACTTAAAAAATTCAAGCATTTTAAACAAAGAAAAGTACTATTCATTTATGAGCTACTACTAAAATAGTTACAACCTGGATTTTACTCGAGGAATAAGCAATATTTTGAGGACGCATGACCTCCAGAAATCACTTGGTAAACGTCTTATTTTTGTAATTATATTTTGTAAATTTGAATTCATCGTTTTCGCGCTAAAAGCGCTCATTTTCACCTTCAGATTGTATTTCCCACTTGGAAGGACCCTAAAAGTCCTTATTTCGTTGCCTCTTTTATTATGCTGTTTTGTGACGTTTCCTAAGGACGTTTTTATGCTGTATATATACGCCTGAGTTGTGTGTTTGTTGACGCTCGTGCTTCTGGCTGCTTGTGGAATGTACTTTACATCATCTGAACCTGGACTTCTCTCTCTAGTTAGCGGGGCTGGGACAAAATGGAATAGTTTAGCTGTCTAGTAGTTGCGTCAATGATCCTTCGTTCCGTTCGCTGGTTTTAGGTGATCTCGTGAAGTCTTTAAACATAACAATAAAATAAGGTAACAAATCATATTCATTTAATATCTCAATTCTATCACTAACCGCGACCCAGAGATATATAGATTTCATTTTTCCTGAGGTTCGAATATCTTAACAAAAAAAGAATAATTATAATTGGAACTAACAGGGAAATTATAATACAACGTTGATTATTTGGTTAAGTAATTACTCTGGGGAACAGCATATCTATGATGAAGGAAATGGTGATAAAACCTAGACATTGAAATTGTAGTGAAATAAAGAAAGGCACTTAATGAAAATATACACTAACATTTCCAACAGTGAGTCATGACATCCAGAAAAGACTTTTAGAAAAAGACTGAAATTTTACCAAAAGCACACAAACTTAAACTTCAACTGATTGGTGTTCTGAGGACGATTATTTGGTTCACTTGTACTATCACGGAATCGGAAAGCTCCTCAGTTTTGCTATTGGTTACAAATTTGTGTTAATAGTTCCACTTTTAAAATACAGAAATCTGAGAATGTTTAGATCTTGATCCTTCAACAGAAACGAAATACAACAGAATACAACGATGAGACTAACATTCAGCAGAATGCCATCCAGACTGCGATGATTAAAGAAAATCTTGTTGCTTTACAAAAGATAGAAAACTAACAAATTGTCACTAAACATACATTAACACGTCAAAAATACTTACCCTTTCGGGAACATATTCGAATCAAACCATTCAGTGATACGACCAATGAAACGAACGTTTTTGTAGGTTTCGGGATTTTTCAGGAATCCTATGTCAAAAATAAGTGGCAATCAAAGAGTAAGAAAACGATTTTTTGATAGTTTATAAAGATATAACCTTGAGATAAGTATATTTCGATTTTCTAAGAGTTTGCCAATTCGATAAACCTTTTTAATACGTCAATTTACACTCACCTTCCGGACAAGCTTCACGAGGTATGAAGACTCGTGGTAGGCGTGTATCCGTAGGTATGAGCACAGCATTCTTCCAATTAGAAAGAACTGGACCTGTACGTATAGCCTCTGATTGGTTGTTATTCTGATCACCCTTCGGAGATACTTTTTTTGGAGTTTGGAAATTACTAGGAATTTGAAGATTTCCTATGAAAGCACGGGAATGTAGCGATTGAAGGATTCCAACAACATGGCCAGTCCTCTGTATAATCGCCCACCAAGCTTTGTGACTTTGCACATCTTGCTCACTTGAGGAGGAATCAATAGGATCTGAAGGTGAATCTAGATCCTGTGCTATCTCTTCTGCAAGACAACTTCCTATGAGCTTGAAGTAAAAAGTGAATAAAGGTTTAGAAACAAAATAATACTTTAAGGAACAGTCAAGTGTGGAATAATCGTTTGCTAGGCCCATAAAACACATGATAATTAACTCTAGTAAATTACCAAATTTTTAAACATATTTATGCAGAATAGCTTTTCTAGTGAATAAAATAAGAGAACGGTAAAGAGTTATACACCAACACATGAAAGCATAAATTTGTTACCTTTATAATTCATAGCTTCCGCTTACTTATTACTAGTCTGTGGTTTTATTTTCATAAAATGAAATCATAAGATAAGGTTACTGCGAAAATGAGAATGTAGGACGAATTTTCAATGGTGGCGCTGTTCATTCTAATTATTATACTCTCCAAGCCGGACAACTAACTATCAAAGTATAACACTAGTTACGATAACCAATTCCTAGACTTGCATAAACTCTACGAAAAGTACATTATGTAAGCTGATGCGGCAGTAAGAACAACCATTTACTGACATTAAAATATTCCCACTGAACATATGAATTTCTCAGTTAACCATACCATATTCGTAAATAATGACTAGCGGATTGCAGAATCCAGTGTATTCAAAAAATAGTAAAACACATAAAAAGAGAATGGGATTTTCAGTAACAGGTCTTAGTACCTTTATTTTAATGGCATCAGTATGTTATAACCAAATAAGCACAAGCAGGAAAACTGATAGATTTTGATTTGTTTTTAAACACAATTGTGTGTTGGGGATGTAATATTCGCAAATACAACGAATGAGGAAGAGATCAATTAGCGTAATAATTTACGTGAATCACACTTACTGACTTTCAGTGCACTGAATTTATATTAATTTATTCAGTATGAAGCTAGGTGTTTGATGATTACTACAGTTACATTGTATAAACTAATTAACTGCGATTTTGCATCTAAGTAACGATTACTCAATTTGACGGTGTAATTTATAATCATAGAATATAATAGGCATATAATCAAATTAACTTGAATGTAAACTAATTCTTCTGGGGTCTTGACTAATCTTCTTAACAAGTATTCCCTCTTATTTGTGTATGGGTTGGTAACACTTAAGTATTGTAGAGTGCTAGTCGTTTGATCTATCTAGTTCGCATAGAGCCCATTTCGTATTAGAAGAATCTTGCAGCTGATCCTAAAAGGAAAATAAAATATCCTATCTCAATTTACGTGAGTGGATTCGCAGATGTATTAACTAGTCTATCGTTATGTAGAAAGGGAGAGAACCGGGTATATAGGAGAAAATGATTACCCACATACTTGCTCTAACCCCATGGGTTGAATCTTAAGAAACTGCTCCAAAGTAACATATCTAAGTTTCTTCTTCTGATTTGAATCCCCGATTTCTCGCATGGTGGCTTCATCGATAAAAGAATCAAATACCTAAAAAAGCACAAATATCTATATTTAACCAGCAAACATTGGGAATACGACAGTAAGAAATATGTAGGAAAAAATAACCGAGGTAATAATGGCTGATGAATTTCTAGATTAATCTAGCGGTTATTATTTCTGTCTATGACAAACTTTTATTCACCTGGAAATGATTTTCTTACCTTCACTGAGTTACAGAAAATACAAATTGCTGAGCGATAAGGAATCCAGAAAGATAAAACGATGATCGGTTATAACTTAATTACGAATGATAACTCAATCGAATAAGCGCATGTTTAACAGGTTTTAATACGAAAATTCTTACATATTTTAATCACAGCTTGAAGCGAAAAAGTTAATGACTCTTTGAAAGTTAAGAATCCAAAACCTACAAAATTAAAATTATGCAGACATTAAATCAGCCAAAGCGCAAAATGTAGATCCAAACCTACGTCAGATATAAATTCGTGGCGCTCACATAACAGACCCAAATTCCATTACCAATATAGGATTGTAGAGATTGTTGAGTTTTAATTGAAATCACGAACCGATCAAAGTTAGACCACCACTGAAAAACTGCAAGCACTGGTTGGCTGGTATGAGACTCCTCAGCGGTGCGCATCCACAGTACCGCACGCGAGACTCGAACTCAGGACCTTCAGACTCGCACGTGAATGCATAACCTCTAAACCAGTGATTCAAGGTTTTCAATGATGGTCTAACATTGATCAGTTTATAGTCTCAATTAAAACCCAAATTCCATTAGTTTACTGTTGAGTTGGAAGCGCATAGACAAAAAATACACTGGACTGTAACAATGATTTAGAGATAATATTGTTTGTAAATGTGTACTACAAACGACCAGCTTACTTACCGGTTACAATTTCAACTTTGATGATAAAATTAAGATTCTTGATTGCTTATCATTGCATTTACTCATTTATATACTAGCGGACATAACTGGATACACAAAGTTTGTATATACAGAGAAAAAGCATGAAAAAATGTCTTATTACGAACTCGAAAGAGCGATAAAACTAGTGGTCTGAATCGCTGTAAAGTACCCAATACGAAACTTTGATTAGGTTTGACCACAAACTGGAACACTTAGTACTAACAAACGTTAACGCAACTACTTATTTAACGAACAGTGATATGTAGGGTATATTTTAACAAAATAGTTACTACAAAATCTTATACCAATATTTTTAGATCATTTATCAAAAGATCTAGTTGTGAATGTACGGATAGTGCAAGAAGTTAAAATCCGAAGCTATTCGGCAGTCTAGTTTCAAAACTCAGAAGACAAAACGTCAAGGCAGTGTGCCGAAGGAGGCCCCTTTGTTTTCGAAGGCACTACTGGATTTTTACATACTCATTCATCGAAGTACGGAAAATATTGTGATTATTTGAACATACCCTCCAGTTGCGCTTTGGTTCCAGCATGACAGCAACGATATCATTTGGTAGTGCTCGGTTTCTGGATGCTAAAGTTGAGATATATACATCAGCATCACCAGCCTTCATATTTTAATAAACTCAATAATTTCATTTACCGGGTGCTTTACGTATCCATCTTCGAAGTTTTTCGGATTGATACGAAGGTTACCCTGTTAAATGGATAAGAATATTGAAAATTAGTAAAATAAAATGACTAAAATAACATTAAAATTAGGAAAAAGCTGCAGCAATAAGAACACTATGTCCCTTAAAATAAAAAAGATATCAGTTTTAACTACTTACAAAAAAGTACCATACAAGGGTGTTTCAAATCAACTATCAATTACAAAATCTTAAACACTAGAACTTCAAAAGGCGATACAATCAATAACCACGTAAGGAGGTCAGATTTGATATTACCATATAAATAATATTGTTTGTAATACTAACACATCGATGCTTGAGTTGACATGACTGAGACTAAGTATTGATGAGGTTGGATCGCAAGTTGTACGGATCCCTGATATTTAAGCATTCAAATGAGTACATACTGAATTATACTAAGTGTAAGAATGACAATTTAAGCTCTAATACCACAGCCACTCTAAAGGCAAAATATGGTGTATGACGCGGCGTATAGAGGTTAGAATATTGTTACATACAAAGTACGTGCAAAAACATGAGGTAAGAATGAAAATGAGAAAAAACTGATATTTCAATCCAACTTGATTTAGTATCAACTTCTAGGTCTTTGACCTAAGAAATATATAACATAATAAAAACAGGTGCTAACACTTACTGATAGAAGTGTTCCATTTCTGACACCCGAAATTAGGTCATCGTGAGACCAATGAGGACAGTATGCATTGTTTGAAGATGGTTTATCAGCACCCGAGACACCATTTACTGGTAAATTAGGTTCAATAGCTTGCCCGACAGACTTCAACTTCTGGACAACTGTTCGAGGATATCTACTTCTTTTTGTTTTCGGATTAACGACCTGTGAATATAGTGAACCGAATGCTTTTTTAAATTTTATTTTAACACATAGATATTGGTACAAGGAGGCACCAAATACATACGCGCCACACAGATCTCATTTGATATGTGTGAGGGCTGTGATACTACTCGGGTGCCCAAACCGAAGCACGTGAACTGAGTGTTTAGCTACATTATTAACAAAACAGATTCATTACCAAATAAACAGAAAAATACTAGGATTACGAGAATATTTGTGACAATAGTTTTTACCGAATGTCCAGGTATTCATAATCGTGAAGCCTTCGGCTTGAAATTACTGCCTGGTAACACGATGTCAACTATGATTTAGATACTAACCACATGGTATACTTAGGCGTAGTTAAGGTGATTAATTTATGGCTAGCTGTCCTATAAGTGGTTCAAAAGTACAAGGAATGGTAATATCACGTCCACTGATCAATTCATTTCACGTCATACTGAACCCATTCACTAAGATTTCTGGAAGTATGTTGCATTTTAGACGGTGTCTATCTTTGAAAAAAAACGGAATGTAGAGGAAAGACTGCTATCGTCGGGTTGCGATAAGTATGTCTGTGTTCCAAAATCTGTCGAACGGTGAATATCTGGTAGATTAAACCACAACCAGATTTGAAGCCGACCTGGTTTTCTCGCATTCGCGGTTCGAGTTTTGTTGGACGCCCGATAGTTATTGAGGCTAGTATTTTAGACATAATATTAGTCAAACTGATCCGTCTGGTTATCACAGGGTGATTTTGATCCTTTTCAATATATTGAGACGATCAGTGATTGCGACCAGTCACATGAAACTACATTCAGTTCTCAGATTTCAGCTAAAATATTAGTTAACCTAGTTGCTAAAACTGGACCACCATCTTTGAAAATCTCTGGATTTAATCCATCTGGATCAGCTGCCCTTCCTCGTTTCATATTAGCTATAGCCTTTTGAACTTCAGCTAGAGTCGGGGAACCTACTTCAATACTCCATTCCCGCTGTCTGGGAATGGTGGATAGTTGTAGAGTAGCTGAAGTTCAGCTGAACTGCTCCTTAAAGTGTACCAACTATCGTTCTGAACGTCTGAACTGAGAGCTGATAAGATTGTCGTCTTTTTCCGAAATAGTCTCACACTTGACCTCTTAGTTCGTTTCTTTTATCAGTCTGAATAGCTGTTTTGTGTTACCTACAGTTGCCGCCTTTTCCATCTCTTCTGCTTTCGTTGCCCACCACTGCTCACGATCGTTCCTTAGACTTTTGTTTAACCTATATCTGACTTGTTTTCGTTATTCATCGTCTTCAGAGCCTGATGGGATGAGTTTACGAGAATCTAACAGTTCAATAGACTTAGTAGAAATCCATTGGTTTAAACTGATTTAAATTACTAATAGATGTCACTGCTGTTTTCACAGCTGTTCGTATATCTTCCCAAGCAACATCTGGATCAGCCTTGTTTTCAGAACTACCTAAGTGTGACCTCAGTTGTTCCTGCAATATTACTTACTTACTTACTTTCGCCTGTTACTCCCAATGGAGCATAGGCCGCCGACCAGCATTCTCCAACCCACTCTGCCTGGGCCTTCTTTTCTAATTCCATCCAATTCTTGTTCATCTTTCTCATTTCTATCTCCATTTCCCGGCGTAATGTGTTCTTTCATCTTCCTCTCCTCTTTTCGCCTTGAGAATTCCATGTAACGGCTTGTCTTGTGACACAGTTCAGTGATTTCCTCAATGTGTGTCCTATCCACTTTCAGCGCTTCTTCCTCCGCTGGGATCTGGTCTATTCTTTCCCACAGTTGGTTGTTGCTAATAGTGTCCGGCCAACGGATCCGAAGTATTTTGCGTAGACAACCGTTAATATACACCTGTATCTTCTGGATGATGGCTTTCGTAGTTCTCCAGGTTTCCGCCCCATACAGTAGGACTGTCTTGACATTTGTATTGAAAATCCTGACCTTTGTGTTGGTTGACAGTTGCTTTGAGTTCCAGATGTTCCTCAATTGTAAATATGCTGTTCTTGCTTTACCGATCCGCGCTTTCACATCTGCATCAGACCCACCATGTTCATCAATGATGCTGTCCAAATATGTAAAGGTTTTTACATCTTCCAAATCTTCTCCGTCAATTGTGATTGGATTGGTGCATGCTGCGTTGTATCAGAGAATCTTGCTTTCCCCTTTGTGCATATTAAGACCTACTGCTGCTGAGGCTACTGCTACACTGGTCGTTTTCTCCTGCATTTGTTGTTGCGATTGTGATAGGAGGTCCAGATCATCTGCGAAGTCTAGAAAGTCCAGCTGCATCCTAGATGTCCATTGTATCCCGCGTTTCCCTTCAGATGTTGACGTCTTCATGATAATGTCGATCACCAGGAGAAAGAAAAGGGTGAAAGTAAGCAACCTTCCTTGACACCGGTCTTTACCTCGAACGAGTCTGTCAATTGTCCTCTATGCACAATTTTACAGTTTAATCCATCATAGGAGTTCCGTATGATATTGACTATCTTCTGAGGCACGCCGTAGTATCGAAGAAGCTTCCATAATGCTGTTCTGTCCACGCTATCAAATGCTTTCTCGTAGTCAAGGAAGTTGATGTAGAGTGATGAGTTCCATTCAATTGATTGTTCCACAATGATCCGTAGAGTTGCGATTTGGTCTGTACACGATCTATCCTTACTGAATCCTGCCTGTTGGTCCTTCATTCTGTAATATACTTTTGGCCTATTCATTGCCGAGTTCAATTCTAATGGGTCTTCTTAGTGTGGTTTTCTGCATCCGGTGAGGTACAGGCGAATGTGTACTCGTACCACAGCATCAACAGAGTCTAAACATGTACTGCAAAACGAGCTGAAGTCTTCTATCAAGCATCTCCAACGATGGTTGATGACAATATGGTCTATTTGAGTCCAGTGTTGGTTTAGTGAGGAGGGTCGCCATGTTAGACGTCTCTCCTTATGCTTAAAATTAGTGTTTGCTAAGAATAAACGATTGTCTGGGCACAGTTGCAACAGACGGTCACCATTACCCGTCCTCTGCAGTCAGTGGGAGTGTAGGCAGACACGGAAAAAATGACGTATGTCCCTATCCTTACGAGTTTTTACAGGACAGTTTAGCTGGACAGCACATAGGCAACTTCTAACGAGGATCCATCCTAAAAGTGCTTGTTCTGCCCTCATAGTTAATGCTATACCTATACCCGCCAGTCCACGAGAACTAGCCATTGGGTTGCCAGATACACGGGGGATCGGCTCTCATTTTGGTTAGGCAAGGTCAAGTGAATGACCACAGGACCCTGTATATGTGTTTCAGGGGCAGCATGCATCAATAGCACGAGATACTAGGGTCTTAGGCAAGAAGGCCTGCTGGCCGATTTGACAAAAAGTACGTACGTTGAGGGCTCCAACGAGTAGTTTGGAGCGAGGTTTCAATAAACCTAGGACAGTATTCCGTGCGCTAGAATCACTGGTTATGATGACACTTGAGGATGAAGTCAAAGGAAAAAGTTTAGAGCACTAAACGATGTTTATTTTATTTTGGAATGATACGAACGACAATTATGAGCTTAAGTGACAATGACCCCCAAATACCCTGGTACGGCCGAGGGTGAGAAGAGTCTGCTTTCCTTCACGTAATGCTCTTACGTGACCACGCGTGTACAGCCATTACCAGGGAAGTATTACTCACTTTTCCCGCGGTGGGGTTGTTTACGAAATTAAGAGGACGAAAAACTAATGTCCGACACTTTAACCGGATTGGTAGCTACAAAGGGGAGTTGAAAAACCCTGATTCCAAACCAGTGGTGTGCATAGGCTCTAGGATGCTGAACGAACAAATGGCGTATAAACCAACCTTTTTGTACCAATGTTCATGTTTAAATAAATAAATAAAGGAGTGTTCTTGCTTAGTAAACCCAGCATGAAATGCTACTTTCAAAACATATCAGGGCTGAGTTAATTTATGGCTATTAGTGACAACAAAGACGCGTGACCGTTACTTCAGCGTTGTCAATATTTCTGTAAACTGTGAAAATGCTTGCGAATATATAAACCACTTTCAACATACAACCTGTTTAGAAAGGCAGACGGTGAGGGTTTCCAGAATAAGTGACAAACCATGCAAACGTTGTGACGAGAAATAGACTAGGTGATGGACTTTTCATAACACAGTAGACTTTTTTTATCTCAATTTGTGAGAAATTAGTGATAGTGTCACTTTCAAGAAGTGTATCCCAGACTACGGTTTACAGAGTGAAGACTATTTCCACAAGGCTGCACTCTCAACCGAATTATTTCTCGTAAAAAAGTGTCTTTCAAAAATGTTTATTTTTCTTCACATTATTATAGTTTACATAATTTAAGTTGGCTGCTTGAGAATATTTATCTACGAATTATAAACTACGGTCGATTCATGGATGTAAATGACCACTTTCTCAAAAAAGACTTGACAGACGATATAGAATGTAACAAACATTACACAGGAAGGACCTCACTTCCTGCTAAACCCTGAAGTTACCCACTTTGCTGGACATTTGATAATCCCAAATCTCCCGCACTTAGAAGCACATGTTGTACAGTGAACACTTGTGGCACAAACAACAAATGTATTTAAATATGTATATTGTAGCGAGTTATACTGTCTGATTTTCGCTTTGATTCCAAGAGTGTGTGAATCCGGGTCCTTAGTTGGTTCTGATTGTTACTGATTGCTCTCGTTATAATATGTAAGTGCATTATGTGGAATTGCTAGGCCGTATAAAAAGTACTTTCTGGCTAGACGTGAACCGCTACACGTATAAATAGCTGTGATCAGCGGTCGTCTGTTCGAAAAACTTTTGTCGTGAAAAAATCTTTAGAATCTATAGCTCTGTAAGGCCTCGACATTTGATGATGACCCCTTTCGTTTCAATGGACACATCTAGCTGAAGCAACTCGTCCAGGCGTCCACACCAGATCAAGAGTGTGTGAGTCGTGCTGCGCATCCCTTTCAACTACTAGCCAGCTTCAATTAATCTGTTGGGCCAGTGAAATGTCACTGAGTCCAAGACAAATAATTCAGCAGTTGGACCACTGAGTGTTGAGCAGTTCATTGATCTCCGTCAGCAAGGACTAACAGTAATATTTCCGATCTAAGTGTATCTTTAGATAACTATTTCCTATTGTTATATCTAGAAAATTGTTGTTGATATACCGCGTATAACGTGAGCACTAGAACGGCAGAATCCTTCCAATTCTCAATGAGAAGACAGAAGACTAATGAAAGGAATAATATTCCCAGACTGTGTCAATTATAGCACAAAGTAGTCAGGTATTTATAAATTTTAGTAATAACGAAATCATCATTACAGTCCTTCAATCCGCATACAGGTGGTTATTAGCATTGTCCAATCAGGGAGCTACACGTTGGAATTCTAGAATATTCTCCCTGAAGATGGCACAGCTATTCAGTGTTTGACAACGCTTTTACCAGCAACACCTAATATAATTCGTACCCAACAAGAGACATCAAAAGACAGAGTCGAGGAGATCGGAAGAGTGTATTTGGCGATAACCAATATATCGGAATTCTCTGATTTAATCTGGCTAGCGATGTTGAGTACAGCGTTCCCACACATGATCTGGTAAGGATGCATGACCGAGCGCCTTCAGCTAGGTGAGTCCACTAAAACTAATCTGGTCAGCATCCAATGTTGAAAACTTATAGAGCTATTTATTTTGGGGATTCATTTACCACTACAGATCACTCCCCCCTAGTGGGGTAGTGATGACCCTAGACGTGGCCAGCCAGAAGTTTAAACCCAACGAGTTTGTCGTTGGTAAACAATCTTCTGATAGTTGCTAGGTTTAGCAGCGTCTGGTCGTCTCTCCTTACTATATAGGACCATGAAGTACAGTATAGTAAAAAAAGAAAAAGTACAATGAAAATTTTGGCTCCTCGTAAACTGCATCGTTCTTTTCCAGCCGTCCTGGAAAAGAGAAAAAAAGTGTAAGTGCATGTCGAAATACACTCGTATGTGCGTAAGAACACAATGTCGGCGAAGAAAATGGAAAATAAACTCAAGCACACGTAATAGCGTTTAAAAAAATTTATAGTGTTTTTTGTTTTTTTTGTAAATAAAAATATAAATATATAAGCATATTGAAATTGTTTTTTTTTAATATTATATATCGTAAAAAGAAGGATCAAGATAATATAAAATGTCGAGTAGTGCCTTACGTGCAGTACTCGTTTAAATGTTCTGTACTCTTCTTCCAGAACGCGTCGTCTTAAGTTTATTTTCTGATACTATTGAAGTATCATCGGGTTTGTTGCCTGTCGGTTGAGGTATTATAAGCGTAGGAGTCGTGTTGTGCGATTGTACCGACGGAAAGTCGACGTGAATAGGATTTCCCTCTAAATACGCTGCTTTTCAACGATCGGTACCGATGCTATCGTTTGTTCCGTTCTTATCGACTATATAGTACTTAGGATCGCGTCGAAGAACTTTGAAAGGTCCTTCGTAGGCTGATTCGAAAGGTGGTCGATGTGAGTCTCAACGAACGAGGACATGTGTATTATATCGTAACTCAGGTTGAACGAAAGCAACAGTTGATTGCGCTCGAATAGAAACAGGTTAAACTGAACGTAGTGCGTTTGTATTGCGGATACCTAGTATGACGAGTGGAAGAGCATTGTTCCATCGTGAAAGGTTTGCAGCTGATAGTGAAGCTTTAAGTTGTCGGTGAAAGCGTTCTACTAACCCGTTTGCGTGTGGGTGATAGGCAGTCGTTCAGAAGCGAGTGATTCTTAAAAGTGTGGTCAGACGACGTAAAAGTTCAGATTCGAACTGACGTCCGCGATCTGTAGTGCTAGTTGAAGGGCAGCCGAAGTTTGCTACCCATCGTTCGACGAAGGTGCGGGCTACTGTTTCAGCAGTAATGTCCTTGGTAGGTACTGCTTCTGGCCATCGAGCGAAACGGTCTGCGCTAGTTAAGAGATAAGAATATCCATTTGAATCTGGTAAAGGTCCTACCAAATCCAGATGAATATGGTCGAAACCAGAGTCGGGAATATTGAAAGGGCCTAATGGCCATTTTCGTGTCTAATCACCTCAGATTTCTGGCAGCTTACACAGGAGAGTGCCCACTCACTCACGTCTTTATTCATGCCAGGCCAGCAAAATCGTTCTGCTATAAGCTTGATGGTTGCACGAACACTTGGATGACGTTTGTGCAACGTATTGAAGACGTTGCGTCGATAATGTTTCGGCACGATTGGGCGATCCCTAACTGTAGATGTGTCACAAAGTAAGGTTTCCTTACCTGTTCCCATCTGTTTGATGCGTAGTTTGAGGGTTGTAGACGATAACTCGTGCTGAAGATCACTGTCTTCTTTTTGAAGCTGGGTGAGTTTCAGAAGGTCGATTCCTTGGAAACTGTTCAAGGAATTTATTCGAGACAAGGCGTCTGCAACTACATTGTTTGCTCCAGAGATGTGTTGAATGTCTGAAGTAAACTGCGAGATGTAATCCAGTTGTCGAGACTCACGTGGTGAGTACTTGTCTGAAGAAGAGATTAAGGAGAAGGTAAGAGGTTTATGGTCAGTGAAAAGGGTGAATTCACGGCCTTCGATATAGTGTTGAAAATGCCGTACAGCACAATACATAGCTAGGAGTTCCCTATCGAATGTGCTGCACCTCGATTTGGTGTCTAGCAACCGTCTAGAGAAAAATGACAGAGGTTGCCAGGAGTTGTTAACCCACTGTTGTAAGACTCCTCCGATTGCCGAGTCGGATGCGTCTACTGCGGTGCCGATGGGTGCTTGATAGTCTTGATGAGCAAGCATTGTTGCTTTAGCGATAAGTTCCTTAACCGTGGAGAACGCTCTTTGTGCGGTGTTGTCCAAATTGATGAATTTCGTATTTCCACGAAGTTGGTCGGTAAGAGGTTTCATGAGTAACGCGCATTCAGGTATGAATCGTCTATAGAAACTTATAAGGCCGTTAAACGTTCGTAAGTGTTTGACGTGGTCTGTTCTGGGTAATCCAGAATGGCCGCCACTTTGGTCCTAAGCGGTCGAATGCCTTGAGCATCTATAATGTGTCCCAGGAAGTCTAACGAGTCGGTTCCGATTCGGCATTTCTGAATGTTTACAGTAATGCCATGTTTTTGTAGTCGTTCGAAAGCAAGATCCAGATGCTTGAGATGCGATTCTCTGTCCGAACTTGCGATTAGGCAGTCGTCAACATACGCATGTACGAAGTTGAGACCTCGGAAAACGTCGTCTATGAATCTTTGGAATGTTTGAGCAGCGTTTCTGAAACCGAAAGACATTCGCGGAAATTCATAGAGTCCGAAGGGAGTAATGATAGCTGTTTTCAGTATATCGTCTGTTGCCATGTGGATTTGGTTATACGCTTTAACCAAGTCGATTTTCGAAAAAACAGTTGTACCTTTCAAGGTAGATGTCAAATCGTGAATGTGAGACAACGGGAAACGATCGAAAATGATTTTTGCATTCAATCGCCGATAGTCACCAGTTGGACGCCAATCGTTGCTGTCCTTTTCAGGGACCATGTGCAACGGAGATGCATATGGGCTATTTGACGGTCTTATGACACCTATGTCTATCATATGGTCGGACTCGTTTTTAGCCAACCCTAGCTTGTCAGGGGCTAGTCGTCGTGCCTTAGAGAATACAAGTGGTCCTGTAGTCGTGATGTGATGTGTAACGTTGCTGGTTACACACGGTAGTTTCGGTTGCGTCTGGTGAATCCCAGGACATTTATCGAGTAGTGGTTTATAATGTGGGTCTATCGTACGCTTAATTGTGACTGGGGATAATTTACAACCAGAGAAGGAAGTTACGCAAACAGATAAATTAGTGTTTCCGTCTACTAGCCTCCGTTTGCGCGTATCGATGAATAGATTATGGTGTTGTAGAAGGTCCATACCAATGATTGTCATAGAAACATCTGCAACAACGAAAATCCAGTGAATGGGTTTGTGTAAACCGACGTTAAGGTAAACGTACATTTTGCCATACGTAGCGATAGGTTTTCCGTTTGCCTCCTGTAAGTTTAAAGCCGATTCGTGAAGTCGGTCGTCAGAATTCGCTGGGAGAACGCTAACTTCTGCGCCAGTGTCGACGAGGTAGCGAACTCTCGTTGTCACATCTGTGACGTATAACGGACGGCTGTGTTCGCCGGCTACGGTTGCCGTTAACGCATGCCGGCTTGGAAGTTTCCCGAGTTGTTTTTCGAGCCAGTCGGTTTTGAGATAGGAAAATTGCAGGGTTTTCTGCAATTTCTGGAAGACTTTCCATACTGGTTATGATACCAGCACCAGTCGGGGTTATCCGTATCTCGTGGTCTAGAGACAGATCGCTTACGTGAAGTGCTTCTACGTGGGGTGTGTGATCGATTACGGTCGTTACGAAAACTAAGATAACGAGTAAGTGTATGACATAACTCGATTATGTCATTCTGAGTCGTTTGATGTTTTTCTTTGACTGAAAATACCTCGGAAGTAGAAGATTTAGTTATTTCTAGGATATGATCGGCAGATGCAGCCAGCTCGTCTAAG